TTACATTGGGGGTAAGCAGAAAACTGTTTAAATTTTATATTTTGCAGAACCATTCCTTTAAACAGGTTCTTAATCATAAAATGAGTGTGGCAACTGATAACCAAGAAACCGGTACATAAATTGTTAACACATTACGTTCTATTCTGTTTGTGATAATACTTACTTTTTTAACTTGTGTGCATTATTTGACCACAGCCAGTATGTTGTTGTGGCACACAGACAAATCCAGTCAGCTTCTGAAACAAATATTTGTTTGCAAAAGACGACAGTCAGCAACAGTTAATTCAGTAACTGATCTCTGATAGGACATTTCATTGTCTAATAAAACCTCACTAATGATTTCAACGTGTGTAGCCAAAGCTAATGAACGAAGCATCAGAATGACTGCCACATTTCCACTCTCCAACATCTAGAAACACAGCTGTAGCTTCTGCAGCTGTTTAAAAAATATGCTAGCTAGCTAGCTAGCGTTAGCTACTCAAATTACCTAGCTGCATAAGCTAACTACTTTCAAATAGTGATAATCATTAATTGTGGTAGTTCGTTTCAAAGTAAAAATAAGCTCCTGGCAGTTTTAAAATGAGCCTCGAGCTATTCATGTATGTGACTACAAGCTTAGATAAATATAGCTAATGTAGCTCAATATAGCTAACGGCTAACGTTTACAAATGAGCCCGCGCAAAAATCCAAGATGAACGCCGACGCAGACGCTATATGGAGCGCTACATTCACAATATACAGCTGCTATTCACGTTAGCGTTTTACTATAATGATTATGTGGTGTTTCTAAGAAGTTATTAGCAAATACTTATACAGGGCAACAACAGAAACAGCTAATGTCAGAAAACGCGTGTTGTCGTGATGAATCAATAGCGTTAGCTAGCGATCTTAGCTTTTATCAGGACCTTCACCATCAATCACACTGAATTAAGGGAAATAAAATGACCGCTACCTTCGTTAATAAGGTTTTAATTCGCTATATTCAGCCAATACAGACAAATCTTTAAATCTGCGTTAATGACGTGCCCAACCGACCGCTATGTTTCCCGTAGTTAGCACGACTGTTCAGCACTAGCTGACCTTAGCAGGACGGCTTCAGCAGCTGTATCAAATACTAGTTAACTAGCTAGCTAGCTGGCTAACATGTACCCTCTATTCAAAAACAAACGATAATACTAGCTAATATTTAAAAAAAAATCTTTGTAAGCTTAGTGACTCGTATATGGCAAAAGGTCCACCTAAAACGGCCAGCTAACGTTTACTCACCTGGACCAATGTGGACAGTAGCGCTGTGTGCTGCGGGCGGCTCGCTGAGAACTTTCTCAGACGAGGACCTTCCATAGGGGCAGTGATCGGTGTCCGTTCAGATGGATATCGCGGCTTCTCAAACCCGCTTGATACATCCAACAAACCCACAGCGCTTAAATGACAGGACTGCCTTGCTGACAGTGGAAATGCAGTTGCAAACAGGATTGCAAATATTCATTTTGGCAGAGCTGAAGGGCCATGATGACGAAATACAATAAAATGGGCGTTTTTTATGTCAGAGTCAGACCGTATTAAGATAATGAAAATGAATGGTCAAAAACGCTGCTTTTCTATATTAACCGTTTCCAGCTATTATACAATACAATAAATAAAAACGCAAATAAGTTTGCATTCAAATTCGAATTGTGTCTTAAATAATGCGATATGCAATTACAAACACCATTTAGCACTTGCATTTAAATTTGAAAAAAGTCCAGGAAATATAGAAAAGCTGATGGCACCATGTTAAATAATGACAACCACACTCCATGTGACGTCATATGGCATGTTCTTTACACCATAAAGACAAGTGAAATATTATCAAGCTTCAGCAATCAACATCTAACATAACAGTAAGCCAATCTATATTTAACATTTGGTATCTTTGAGAAAAGAAACATAACATAATATCTCTGGACTGGAATACAGCTTTCTTTTTGTTGTTTCTTCTTCTTCTTACTATTACTATTATTATTACTATTATTATTATTATTAGTAGTAGTAGTAGAAGTAGTAGTTGTTGTTGTTGTACTAGTAGCAGTAGGCTAAAAGCAGTGGTACTGGTATTGTTATTATCATGATCGTTATCATTATTTTTGGGTTATAGTGAAACGTCCATTGACGTTATTAACAGGTCACCAATGGACTGACTTTTTGAAATGGATTTTGGACGTCTATTGACATTCATAACATGTCCCCGACTGACCGACTATTTTTAAACACATTTTGGACGTCCACAGACGTTCTTTGTTTACTGGGACAGCCATGTTAAATTTAAATTTTGAATAAATACATTTATGACTAAATGAATGCCTAATTACAAGGTGACACCAGTAACAAATTCACAAAAAACTTTCCATTTTACATTAAAATACATTTGGAATGAAGCTCTCCACTTTGCTTATATGATAATAGGAGATACTAATGGACATATTAAGGTTGTTTGGTTTTGGCATTAAAAAATTATTTCTAAAAATATATTCACCTAAATTCCCACTCCCAATAGAGAATGACCCTTATACAGATAGCTAAGCTAAAATATGTTAGCTGTACACATCCTGTCAGGTTATTAAACAAGCTAACTGCCTGAATTTAACAACAGAAAAGATTTCTAGTGACCAACAAACACAAATTTGTTAAATATGTTTTACAAACTAAGCAGTCAGTTTGTATTGAGCTCTCTGAGCTCTACTAGCCCAGTCTCTGGTGTCTGTGTCCAGCTCAGCTGTCGGTTTCATTTACAATATGTAAACACTTTCTTTGAAAGAAAGTGAAGGGATGGAACTCTTGGCCTTAGGTCAGTATTGTAGGATGGTGACAGACAAGTGTTATTAAGACAAACATTTCCTCTAGAAGCACTTCACCACCTGTTCATAAATGAAATTATGGTCCTTTGATGGAGAAATTATGTGCAGACAATCTGCTAAATGATGCATTTTCAGCCTGTTTCTCAGGTCAGTATTTGGCATTGTATAAAAATATAATTAAATGTTGCGCACACTTTTTTTTTGCTCCTTTTTCACTACAAACTATCAGAGGGCCTTATTACAAAGTTTTCTGTGCTCTGACAGGGAGAAACAGTCAACTGAATTCTTTCATGACTGACGGGAGATACTAAGTCTGGTTAGTTCTTGAGAGCCTGTAGACAATACAGTTACAAAATCATAATCACTGGCAACAGCAGTTCAAATTAAACATGTATTGAAAGCAAAGGTGAGAGCTAGACTTGAATAACATATTTTACTTGAACATTGTTTACTTAAAATGGCCCACTGAAACATAGCCAGGGCTCCAAACCTGACACATTAGTGTAATCCAAATGGTGTGGAGAAAGCTGTTTTTTCATGAGAGAGTGGAGTCAAAGGGATCTTCCAGTATCCCTTGGTTAAATCCAGTGTCAAGTAAAAACAAACAGCACCCATCCGACTGAACAGCTCATCAGTACGTGACACTGGGTTGGTGCCCGAATTAGACACAACATCGATTTTCGTATAGTCCACACAAAACCGAAAAATCCTGTCAGGCTTGAGGACAAGCACCACAGGGCTGCACCAATCACCATGAGATTCCTTGATTACACGCATGTCGAGCATATCCTTGATTTCATCCTGAACCAAGTTTGCTTTGTTTTCAGGTAAATGACAAGGCCAGCTGCGTACAACCACACCAGGAGGAGTCTCAATGTGGTGTTCTATGAGGTCAGAGTGGCCAGGCAAATATTTATAAGAGTCTGATTAAACTGTTTGACCAGTCCATCCGTTAGGGGATGGTAAACACTGGCAGGAACCAATTTAATGCCCAAACTGATTGGTAAAAAATTGTGTAGGGTGATGCATTTCAGGAGAAGGCAGGGAGGCTGACTGTGGTGTCACATGGTATAAAAATTAGACCGTGTACATAAAGAACAGCATACGCATATTGATTCATCATTACTAATCAAAACTACTATAATGTTGACTTGGATTAGTTCAGAAACAAAACTGAACACAGTGTCATTGGTAAGACTCAGTCAACAAAGATGGTGTCTCTTAAGCACATCCTAATGATGTCAGCAAACGTCACTCAGTGAGACCTTTCACACAGTTCTACGAAGATGGAGGTTCACCCAATTCGAACTCCTGTACCATCAGCCACCACCATGTCTGGTAGGACAATTTGGAGATGGGCAAAAAAGTCCTTATCTTCTCTCACAGCACCCATCTCAAGGAACAATCACTCTCCAAAGGTTCACAAGATTCAAGAACATCAAAATCCTGGCCTGTATGCAACTTTATGTCACATGGAAAAGGCATTTGTAGGCCATACTGAGGAGAGGTCACTAGTACGTCACTCAGACAGCTTGATGTCTTGCAGTCTTTCGTATTTCTGTCTCTCCTTTACAAAGCTATTCAGTTCTGCCCACCACAGCAAAAACTTGAACGTTGCACTCTTCAGGGTCACAGCTCCTTCTTTACAGTCTTTAACCAGAACACTCTGAACATACAGCATACAGAAAACGGATCCTAAAGAATAAAAGGGAATACAGAATGGCACTTTCCCTGCAACAAGCAAAGTACTTAACATGTAGTATTAAAGGAGCAAAAGAGGGTCTCTAGAAGCAAAGTCTATTGTCAGATGTTTGTCAAAACATTAATTATTGCAACAGAAACACTGTACTAGCTTAATTACACGGAATTAAAAAGTAAACAACCTTTTTTATTGAATGTGAAGCTTCCAGATTGTCTTCACCTCATTATTAATATCATTAATGAAATTCTATTTTACTTTACACTCATGTATTAGACACAGCATAAAACAACAAAAGGTGGTTTTCCCGTCTGATACAATTATGCTGGTTTTTGAAATTGGGCTACAAACACCATTCCCTGCAGACTTTTAATCCTGGAATGTTCTAATTTTACACGCATTACTGCCCATTTTCACCACTGCTCTTAGTGCACTTGTGTGTCGTCATAGTATTTGAATTCCTAAACCTTTTTCCACACTCCAAGCAGTGATATGGCTTTTCTCCTGAGTGAATGCGCTGGTGTTGGTGAAGATGGCTCTGTTGATTAAAACTCTTCCCGCACTCTGGGCAGTGATACGGCTTCTCTCCACTGTGAATGCGCTGGTGTGCTTTGAGATGACTCTGATGATTAAAACTCTTCCCGCACTCTGAGCAGTGATACGGTTTCTCTCCTGTGTGAATGCGCTGGTGTCGTTGGAAGTTACTCTGTACAGTAAAACTCTTCCCACACTCTGAGCAGTGATACGGCTTCTCTCCTGTATGAATGCGCTGGTGTTGTTGGAGATTACTCTGTACAGTAAAACTCTTCCCACACTCTGAGCAGTGATATGGCTTCTCTCCTGTATGAATGCGCTGGTGTTGTTGGAGATTACTCTGTACAGTAAAACTCTTCCCACACTCTAAGCAGTGATACGGTTTCTGTCCTGTGTGAATGCGCTGGTGTTTTTCATGAGTACCCTGATGATTAAAACTCTTGCCACACTCTGAGCAGTAATACGGCTTCTCTCCTGTGTGAATGCGCTGGTGTGTTTTGAGATAACTCTGATGATTAAAACTCTTCCCACACTCTGAGCAGTGATACAGCTTCTCTCCTGTGTGAATGCGCCGGTGTGTTTTGAGATGACTCTGATGATTAAAACTCTTCCCACACTCTGAGCAGTGATACGGCTTCTCTCCTGCGTGAATGCGCTGGTGTGTTTTGAGATGACTCTGATGATTAAAACTCTTCCCACACTCTGAGCAGTGATACGGCTTCTCTCCTGTGTGAATGCGCTGGTGTGCTTTGAGATGACCCTGTTGATGAAAACTCTTTCCCACACTCTGAGCAGTAGTGTTTTCTCTCTTTGTTGGATTTCTGTGTTTGTCTGCGAGATGTGCTCATGTGGAGGTTACCAGATGACCTTTGCTGAGTACCGGAATGTTTTCTGGATGCCATATTCTTGCATATCAGCTCTTTCAGTAGCTACACATTTTGCCTTTGGAATATCCTGACATGTTTATGGGAGCACATTTAAGCTGAGTAGTGAAGTACAGGAGAAGACTTGGAACAGGACATCATTGATTTCTGAAAGAAGATATATATATATATATATATATATATATATATATAATATATATATATATATATATATATATATATAAACTCAATGTGCAATGAAACAAAATTGTGCTGATTCAAACTATGAATGCTTCATTTACATCAACTGGAAAAAAGTGAACAGAAAGAATAAACTTCCATTTGATGTGGAAAACCAATTACTTTAAGCTGGTGTTTACACAAATTCTACCCCGATTTTAGCCCCGATTCTCAGTCTGACGGAGTCTGTGCCAATTGGCTGTAGTCTGCAGATTTTGGGGTCAGCTGGAGTCAACAGTTGGAGAGAGAATCCTGTAGTGTGTGAGGGGTGCAGATTTTTTTGGTCTCGATTGCACTATAGACCACTCAGGGTTTATCAAACATGTTTAATTATTGCGACCCAACTCTGAGCATAATCTGTAGTGTATACTGGTCAGCAACTCAATCTGAATGGACTCCTGCAACAGCCAATAAAAAATGAGCACAAAAGAAAAAAATATCACAAGAAAACGAAAAAAACGGCAAAAAGTCACTCACGTGTGAAACAAAGGTTCTTAATGAGCCAAGTTTCAGGCACATGCACAATCAAATGTATGTACATTTAAAACTCAAACATATCACACTGACCTTGTTCAGTGAGTTCCTTTCAGTTCAGGAACAGCTTAACTACTGTGTGATCGTTTAGTGTGTGATCCCCAATATATCAGTTGCCCATATTTTTATAATCTGTAAAGACTTTAACAGACATGTAGTGAACCCAAGGCTTTAGGATGCTTAAACTTCACAAAAACATCATCTCATCTAAACAGCTGACTATTTAGCTTTCACCATCTGAAACAGCATTAAGAAATGAAAGTTATGGACAGCTATTAACATCAATGAAAGACCTGAAAGACCAAGAAGGAAACTGCTTTTGGACTGCCCAGGTATGAAAAGCAAAATCTGTGGCAGAAGAAGCTCATGACCGCATGTTTGCTGTAAGGTTTATAACGACAGATGAAGTAGTTCTCAAAAGATGCTGGGTTACTCAGAATCACGTTGTTTAATATGCGAGTTTTATTAAAGATTTTCATTAAAACAATTACTACTAAAAAGCTAAAGACTACAATAGAATAGAAAGTAGATTAAAGCTGCTGTAGATCACAAAGGGCTGCAGGAAGAATTACTTTAGCATGAATATGACCTCCTGCCCCATCACACTCTATTCACACTCTGCTGTCTGAAGAGAGAGTGAAGATCACGGACCTCCCGTTTTCAGTTTCAATTAGATCAGAGGTTCCCAGTTTCAGTCCAGAAGAGTCCACACCATCCACATTTTTACACATCTCCCTTATCCAACACTCCTAATTCAACTCATTAACTGATTGAATGAGGGTTAAAGTAGCAAAAAAACATATGTACAGCATGTGGTCTCCAGGACTGAGATTGGGAACATCTGAACTAGGCCATCAAACCCCTGGATGTCTCCCACACACTACACTCTTCTTTAAACAGACCTCAAACACCCATCATAGACACTCCTACCAGCTCTTAATCTGCCAGCCATTGACCACCAACCCCCACCCAGACATTCACAGCTCTCAGGAAGCTCTTCGTATTGTTCTACAACAAACTGCTGTTTCCTCACCACATTTGTACAAACAGTTCGATCCATCTTGGATAATGTCAGCATATCAGTCACTATTCCTACATTATTTACAGCTACACAATCAATACATCATGAGCTCTTTTTGCACTTTGTTTTATAAGTGTATAAGTTGAGTTGACTTGATAACATTAGCACACAAAAGTAGAAAAGCTCATGGAATAAGCCAAGAAGCACAAAGACTGTTCCAAATGTTGACTGGAAAGCAAAAAATGACATTTTAATCAACTAGATAAAATAACTGACAATAAATAAAGGTGTAATTCAACAAATCAGAACCAAACTGTTCCATGTTTGCCGAATCCAACTAGGTAAACATTTTAAACCAAATATTCCGGCCCAGCAGCTCACATTACTCTGCAATGCTTCCCATTAATTAACTAGATTATGGCGGCCCATCAGAGTGTAATTTGTCCTGCCACAGTTCCACATTGAACATATCTTTACACTTCTTGTAAGAACATAAACAACATTGTGTTTTGCCAAAGCATCTCTCACTATCAGTCAGTAATTTTAGTCACTATAACATTTTCCCTTCTTATTCACAAACTGATCAAGCACCATTAATTACAGACAAATCAAAATGACTTTTTCATGTCTTTGGTCCTCAGAGACCATTCAACTGTTTTCTGGATTAAAAAAAAAAAAACTCATCACAATGTAAAATCAGTATAATTTTTTAAATTATTTTAGACCGATTTTCAAAAAAAAAATGTTATTAATGTGCTGATAACTTTATATGTTTCATTATTATGAGCTTTAAGCTGTTAAACAATACATGCATTCATGCTTATGAAGATTGTTTTCCAATCGACGAATTATAAACGCATCATGGTTTCCCAAACCGCCTTACAATAACGCTAATATTTACGTGTTAACTCGGGATTCCCACGTGTTCTGATCCCAAACTGCCCTGCGAGCGAGCTCCTCCCACCACAGTGACCACAGTCCTGAAACAGCTCTGTCTGAGTGATGCTGCTTCTGGGTGTCTGATCTACTTTAAAGACATCAGATCTCATTTCCAGAACTCAGATGTGTCTCCAGCTGTTTGTCTCAGAGTGAATGAAGAACAGTGAGTGTTAAAGTCTCGGACAGATTCCTACCTTGTTTTTTTTCCTACAACAACACTGTCTGAGCTGCTGACCACAACACAGTCTTCCGCTTCTCCACTTTAGTGCAGTTGGAGATAGTGAGTTACAGAATTAGCGCCACCACCTGGCCTGGAGCGGCTTCACAAGCGTCTGTGTAGGAGAGTCTGTTCACTCGGCGGGCAGGTTTTTCCTGCCATATAGACGAGATTCCTCTCTCTAAATGAGGAGACCAAGCTACTCCAAACTGAAGGTCAAAATTTGGTCACCTAGCGCACCTAGTGTGAAATTTAGCTGCCAACCTTCACGTGCGCTGATGTGTAGTGAAACAGGATTTTTTTTTAAAAATCACCAACATAACAAAACATAGATTAAGCATTTCACTTTTTCTGTCTACTGTGTGTACAGTTGCATGAAAAAGTTTCTAAACTCTTGGAACCACTTGGACTTCTGCTTAAACAGCTCCTAAAATATTAAATACTTGTCACTGGTATTAGAGATTTGTTATGATATGGTGTTCTTTTTGAGGAAACTTTGTCTGTATTAAGAGTATCTTACTTGAAATGTTAGAATGATGCGTTTTGCACTGGTTTTTATCTCAGTAATTCAATTTCCATGCTTCTTGTACATTTTTTTTTTAAATAGTATATGGAGGTACATTAAAATATATGATATATATTTATCTGTATTTTATTATTTTCTTAGTGTATTTGTATAAAAGAGCTTTGGTAACATGATTATTCACCTTAGATTTCTTCTTCTTCCATGCTGCTGACTTCACTATACATGCCTCAGGTAAGGTGTTTATTGGAGCAGAGCCCACACCTGCCTACCTATGCAATCTCAAAAATAGTGCTAAAAAGAGATATACAGTCCCTCCAGAGTGTGAGTACCTGGTGTGGGGGCAGAAGATAACCCAAAACCAGGTCCCTGCAGTTTTGGAGCCTGTTAGCCTGGCCGATGGAGTCTCCTCTGGAAGCATTATGATTAAGATGGAGCACCGCTTTCCAGTATAGCTGAGTAATGTGTCTGCTTCTAGCAAACCATGTGGAGAACATGTTTGGGGTGGTTAGTGGAGGCCTACCCTGATGTGGCTCAGAGTAAGAAAGAAAGTCTAGTTACTGCTAGAAATGTATGACAAACATTCATAATTTCTGTAATGTCATATACCATGAAAACCTAAAAACAAACAACCACACCTAATTGAAAAAATAAAGTTTACAAAATATAATAGGAAAAATATTTTTCAGGTTTAGAAGAACTTAAATATTATTTTATAAAAGTTGAGAAATATAATTTCAATAGGTTAATAATAGCAAAGATAGTGTCTCTCAAGCACATCCTTCTGACATCAGCAAACGTCGCTCTGGGAAGTTCATAGAGAAGTTGTTGTCTGGCCTGTATGCAACTTTACGCAGCATAGAACAGGCATGTGTAGGCTATACTGAGGAGAGGTCCCCAGTACGTCACTCAGATGGCTGTCTTGTAGATGTCTTGCAGTCCATCACACTCCTGTGAATCCTTTAAAAAGCTGTGGGTAGAACTGAACCACAGCAAAACTTCACTGTTGCAGTCTTCAGCATCATATCTCCTTCATTATAGTCCTCAACAAGAACTATCTGAATACACAGCACACAGAAAACATCTCAAAGATTGAAAGGGAAGAGTGACACTTTGATTGCAACAAGCAAACATGTAACACACACTAGGGATGCAATGATTATTCGACTTAGTCGACTAAAATCGACAACCAAATTAGTTGGCAACTAATTTAATAGTGGATTAGTTGGTAACATCATTACACGTCTTTTTCACAGGAAATGTTTTGACATTACCACTTACTGGAGAGTTGACAAAAGTGCAATAGCAAAATTTCATGCTAAACACAGGGAAAAAAAAGGTTGTCAGTTATGCTACAAACCTTAGCTGACATAGAAACACATCCTCCATGTTAGAGCATCTGAAGCGGAAACATGTTGGCTCACTGGATTAAGAAGATTCATATTAGTAAGAAAGCTGTGCCAGCGAGCTAGGTAGCTAATGTTAATGAGAAACAAATAACTATTATTCACAACAACCCCGTTTACATTCCAGGTAACGTTTACGGCTTTAAACATTACGTCGTTGTCTTAACGTCGAGGCTGCTCGTCTGTTCAAATTCGGCAAACACAGGAGAACGTTTGCAAACTTTCATAGTTTCAAGAGGTAGTTCTACATAAATATACAGGGCAGCTGTTCAAAGGGTTACCGTCGAAATGAAAATGTTTAAACAAAATCATTCCGATTTAACTGTTCAAAGATAACACGTTTGCCACAAAAGTTAGCCATTTTCCCCGTTAGAGTGCATCTTCTCTGCAGCAGGGAAGAGTAATTTAGATTGACCTTTTTTATATACTTAATTAAGGGAAAACTTATTTGGTTATATTTTCTGCTACTTTGCACATCCTTGGTTTTAAATTTTGACAGGAAATAGATATTTGGAGTTTTATGTGTCTTTTGTATTAGCAGGAAAGATCATCACAACAGTGAATTTTTAAATAAGATATTCATCTTTATTGTCCTCATTGTTAGTTAGTAAATGCATAAAACAACCTCACACTAAATTTCAAAGCAGATGGCTACACAAGAGTTATTTGGTAAATTTGTGATTTATAATCAGAATAATCGATTATTCATTTCAATAATCAGCAGATTATTCAACAATCTAATAAGTCTTTTGTTGCAGCCCTAACACACAGGAATCAAAAGAGCAAAAGAGGGACTTTAAGAGCAAATTCTACTATCAAATTTTTGTCAACTATTTGTCAAAGCATCCATCATAGCATTAGAAACACTATACTAGCTTAGATACACTAAATGAAAATTTTTTTTTCAGATTTTTTTCATCTTATTAAAGGACTCTGAATGACAAGTGTATGAAAGGTGCTATATCAATAAACTTGCCTTGCCTTATCATTAGTATTTTTCATAAAATTTTATTTTACACTCACATATTAGAAACAGCATAAAACAACAAAAGGCGGATTTCCCCTCTAATAAAAGTTACACAGATTTTTGAAATTCTGTTCTAAAGTTACAGTCTTTACTGCGAATTTCCACCTCTGCTCTTAGTGCACTTGTGTATTGTCAAACCATTTGAATTCCTGAAACTCTTCCCACACTCTGAGCAGTAATATGGCTTTTCACCTGTGTGAATGCGCTGGTGTTTTAGGAAATTACTCACATGAGAAAAACTCTTCCCACACTCTGAGCAGTGATACGGCTTCTCTCCTGTGTGAATGCGCCGGTGCATTTTGAGAGTATTCTTTCGTTTAAAACTGTTCCCACAGTCCAAACAGTAGTGTTTTATCTCCTTGTCGCGTTTCTGTTTTTGTGTGTGAGATGTGTTCATAGGTGACCTCTTCTGAGTACTGGAACGTGTTCTGGGTGCTATATTTTCATATTTAACCTTTTTCAGCAGCTCATCATTCTCCTGGTGGAATGTCCTGACATGGTTACGGGAGCACGATTAAGCTGGGTAGGGAAGTACAAAAAATCTAGTTTAGTCTGATCCAAACCATCAATTCTCCACGTACATCAACTGGCAGAAAGTGGTTTTGGTAAATTCTCAGAGATTATTATGATCATTAGTCCTTAATCCAAGTCATGTATAGACAATTTCAAAGCATAATTAATTTGGTGACCCTTCAAACCTCTTACTCACCTTTTACCCTATGAGTTTTAGCCATGATTCTCAGCCTGGCTGAGTCTGAGCTGGCTGGCTCTATTCTGCAGATTTTTGGCTCAGGTCAAGAGTCAAGTGGAGAGAGAAATGTGTAGTGTGCGAGGGGTGCAGACTTAAGGTGAGTGAGCAGTTATGTTTAAACACAGCTAAAGTCAAGTATTTGTACATCATATCATATAGCCGCCACTACACTGTATCTAATAAATAAAACATCCAACCTAAAACTTTGTATTGATGGTTCTTTCAGTTAAGGGACTTCAATGCAGCCAGGACCAAAGCAAGCAGAATTAGGATTTAATGGTATTTAATGGTATAAAAATAAAGTATTACTTAGAAATAGTTTATTGATGTTTTGGTCTCTTCTGAGGGTTTCTCATTTACAGTCTTTTTTGGAAATCATTTGAATCCATCCACTCAGATTAAAGTTAAGGGGCGGGGGCTTACACTACTGACACACCTACACTTAAATGACTGGGTTTTAATTCTAGGCAGCTTATACATTCTATAGGTTGTGTTGGGGGGGGTGTTTTATTAGTGGTCAGTGTGGCAGGCGTTGAAAAAGGTTCAACTGAAGAACTTTCATAGACAGATTCCTACCTTCAGCAGTTGATCCCTGGTTTCTGGTCATCCAACAACACTGTCTGAGCGCGTGGACTGCTGACCACAACATAACCTTCTGCTTCTCCACTTCAGTGCAGTTGGAAAAAGTGAGAGTGGTAGAATTAGCGCCACCACCTGGCCTGAAGAGGCTTCACCAAAGTCCGTATAGGAGAGTCTGTTCACTCTTCTGCCTTACAGACCTGCAAAAATGGCATCTTATCAAGTAAAATGAATACAGTTAAATCTAATATCTCTCCTATTAAGATTGTTGTAAGCTTGAGACAAGATTATTTACTTTATTTCTAGACATTACTTACTTGGTTTAAGTTATTAAGGAAATTTCTCACTATATCAGCAGCTGATTTTACCTGTTTTAAGAAATGTGGGTGAAACTAACCAAAGTCAGCCTAGGAGAGTCTGTTCACTCGGTGGCCGGATAGACCAGGCTCCTCTCTCTAAATGAGGAGAGACCAAACTACTCTAAACTGAAGGTGAAATGATTATTTCATTACATTGAATTTCTTCAATAAATACAGCCATGTTAAATTTAAATTAAAAATAAATACATTTATGACTAAATGAATGACTAATTACACCAGTAACATTCACAAAAACTTTCCATTTTACATTAAAATACGTTTGGAATGAAGCTCTCCACTTTGCTTATATGATAATAGGAGATACTAATGGACATATTAAGGTTGTTTGGTTTTGGCATTAAAAAATTATTTTAAAAAATATATTCACCTAAATTCCCACTCCCAATAGAGAATGACCCTTATACAGATAGCTAAGCTAAAATATGTTAGCCGTACACATCCTGTCAGGTTGTTAAACAAGCTAACTGCCTGAATTTAACAACAGAAAAGATTTCTAGTGACCAACAAACACAAATTTGTTAAATATGTTTTACAAACTAAGCAGTCAGTTTGTATTGAGCTCTCTGAGCTCTACTAGCCCAGTCTCTGGTGTCTGTGTCCAGCTCAGCTGTCGGTTTCATTTACAATATGTAAACATTTTCTTTGAAAGAAAGTGAAGGGATGGAACTCTTGGCCTTAGATCAGTATTTTAGGATTGTAACAGACAAGTGTTATTAAGACAAAGTCCTTTGTTTACCGCAATAACAATGTTTATCAGAACAATGGATTTTCCTTGGTTTCCTCCAGAAGCACTTCGCCACCTGTTCATCAATGAAATTATGGTCCTTTGATTGAAAAATTATGTGCAGACAATCTGCCAAATGATGCATTTTCAGCCTGTTTCTCAGGTCAGTATTTGGCATTGTATAAAAATATAAATAAATGTTGTGCACACTAAAGAAAGATTTCACTCTATTCAGTGTGCTCCTTTTTCACTACAGCCTATCAGAGGGCCTTATTACAAAGTTTTCTGTGCTCTGACAGGGAGAAACAGTCAACTGAATTCTTTCATGACTGACGGGAGATACAAAGTCTGGTTAGTTCTGTGATAGCCTGTAGACAATACAGTTACAAAATCATAATCACTGGCAACAGCAGTTTAAATTAAACATGTATTGAAAGCAAAGGTGAGAGCTAGACTTGAATAACATATTTTACTTGAACATTGTTTACTTAAAATGAGCCACTGAAACATAGCCAGGGCTCCAAACCTGACACATTAGTGTAATCCAAATGGTGTGGAGAAAGCTGTTTTTTCATGAGAGAGTGGAGTCAAAGGGATCTTCCAGTATCCCTTGGTCCATCCGTTAGGGGGTGGTAAACACTGGCAGGAACCAATTTAATGCCCAAACTGATTGGTAAAAAAATTGTGTAGGGTGATGCATTTCAGGAGAAGGCAGGGAGGCTGACTGTGGTGTCACATGGTATAAAAATTAGACCGTGTACATAAAGAACAGCATACGCATATTGATTCATCATTACTAATCAAAACTACTATAATGTTGACTTGGATTAGTTCAGAAACAAAACTGAACACAGTGTCATTGGTAAGACTCAGTCAACAAAGATGGTGTCTCTTAAGCACATCCTAATGATGTCAGCAAACGTCACTCAGTGAGACCTTTCATCCAGTTCTACAAAGATGGAGGTTCACCCAATTCGAACTCCTGTACCATCGGCCACCACCATGTCTGGTAGGACAATTTGGAGATGGGCAAAAAAGTCCTTATCTTCTCTCACAGCACCCATCTCAAGGAACAATCACTCTCCAAAGGTTCACAAGAATCAAGAACATCAAAATCCTGGCCTGTATGCAACTTTATGCCATATGGAAAAGGCATTTGTAGGCCATACTGGGTAGAGGTCACTAGTACGTCACTCAGACAGCTTGATGTCTTGCAGTCTTTCGTATTCCTGTCTCTCCTTTACAAAGCTATTCAGTTCTGCCCACCACAGCAAAAACTTGAACGTTGCACTCTTCAGGGTCACAGCTCCTTCTTTACAGTCTTTAACCAGAACACTCTGAACATACAGCATACAGAAAACGGATCCTAAAGAATAAAAGGGAATACAGAATGGCACTTTCCCTGCAACAAGCAAAGTACTTAACATGTAGTATTAAAGGAGCAAAAGAGGGTCTCTAGAAGCAAAGTCTATTGTCAGATGTTTGTCAAAACATTAATTATTGCAACAGAAACACTGTACTAGCTTAATTACATGGAATTAAAAAGTAAACAACCTTTTTTATTGAATGTGAAGCTTCCAGATTGTCTTCACCTCATTATTAATATCATTAATGAAATTCTATTTTACTTTACACTCATGTATTAGACACAGCATAAAACAACAAAAGGTGGTTTTCCCGTCTGATACAATTATGCTGTTTTTTGAAAATTGGGCTACAAACACCATTCCCTGCAGACTTTTAATCCTGGAATGTTCTAATTTTACACGCATTACTGCCCATTTTCACCACTGCTCTTAGTGCACTTGTGTGTCGTCATAGTTTTTGAATTCCTAAACCTTTTTCCACACTCCAAGCAGTGATATGGCTTCTCTCCTGTGTGAATGCGCTGGTGTTGTTGAAGATTACTCTGTTGATTAAAACTCTTCCCACACTTGAAGCAGTGATACGGCTTCTCTCCTGTGTGAATGATCTTGTGTTTTAGGAAAGAACTCTGTACAGTAAAACTCTTTCCACATTCTAAGCAGTGATACGGCTTCTCTCCTGTGTGAATGCGCTGGTGTTGTTGGAGATGACTCTGTACAGTAAAACTCTTCCCACAGTTTAAGCAGTGATACGGCTTCTCTCCACTGTGAATGCGCTGGTGTATTTTGAGATGACTCTGTTGATTAAAACTCTTCCCACAATCTGAGCAGTGATACGGCTTCTCTCCACTGTGAATGCGCTGGTGTATTTTGAGATGACTCTGTTGATTAAAACTCTTCCCACACTCTGAGCAGTGATACGGCTTCTCTCCACTGTGAATGCGCTGGTGTATTTTGAGAGTACTCTGTTGATTAAAACTCTTCCCACACTCTGAGCAGTGATACGGCTTCTCTCCTGTGTGAATGCGCTGGTGTTGTTGGAGATGATTCTGTATAGTAAAACTCTTCCCACATTCTAAGCAGTGATACGGTTTAACTCCTGTGTGAATGCGCTGGTGTTGTTGAAGAGTACCTTGATGATTAAAACTCTTCCCACACTCCGAGCAGTGATACGGTTTCTGTCCTGTGTGAATGCGCTGGTGTTGTTGAAGAGTACCTTGTTGATTAAAACTCTTCCCACACTCTGAGCAGTGATATGGCTTTTCTCCTGTGTGAATGCGCTGGTGTTGTTGAAGATTACCTTGTTGATTAAAACTCTTCCCACACTCAGAGCAATGAAAAGGCTTCTCTCCTGTGTGAATGCGCTGGTGTATTTTGAGATTACCCTGGTCAGTAAAACTCCTCCCACACTCTGAGCAGTGATACGGCTTCTCTCCTGTGTGAATGCGCTGGTGTATTTTAAGATGACTCTGTTGATGAAAACTCTTCCCACACTCTGAGCAGTGATACGGCTTCTCCCCTGTGTGAATGCGCTGGTGTGCTTTGAGATGACTCTGTTGAGTAAAACTCTTCCCACACTCTGAGCAGTAGTGTTTTCTCTCTTTGTTGCATTTCTGTGTTTGTCTGCGAGATGTGTTCATGTGGAGGTTACCAGATGACCTTTGCTGAGTACCGGAATGTTTTCTGGATGCCATATTCTTGCATATCAAGTAGTTTCAGTAGCTACACATTCTGCCTTTGGAATATCCTGACATGTTTACGGGAGCACATTTAAGCTGAGTAGTGAAGTACAGGAGAAGACTTGGAACAGGACATCATTGATTTCTGAAAGAGGAAAAAAAAAAATATATATATATATATATATATATAAACTCAATGTGCAATGAGACAAAATTATGCTGATTCAAACTATGAATGCTTCATTTACATCAACTCGAAAAAAGTGAACAGAAAGCATAAACTTCCATTTGATGTGGAAAACCAATTACTTTAAGCCGGTGTTTACACAAATTTTACCCCGATTTAAGCCCCGATTCTCAGTCTGACGGAGTCTGTGCTAGTTGGCTGTAGTCTGCAGATTTTGGGGTCAGCTGGAGTCAACAGTTGGAGAGAGAATCCTGTAGTGTGTGAGGGGTGCAGATTTTTTGGTCTCTTGATTGCGCTATAGACCGCTCAGGGTTTATCAAACATGTTTTATTATTGTGACCCAACTCTGAGCATTATCTGTAGTGTATACTGGTCAACAACTCAATCTGAATGGACTCCTGCAACAGCCAATAAAAAATGAGCACAAAAGAAAAAAATTATCACAAGAAAACAAAGAAAAATGGCAAAAAGTCACTCACGTGTGAAACAAAGGTTCTTAATGAGCCAAGTTTCAGGCACATGCACAATCAAATGTATGTACATTCAAAACTCAAACATATCACACTGACCTTGTTCAGTGAGTTCCTTTCAGTTCAGGAACAGCTTAATAGTTAACTACTGTGTGATCATTTAGTGTGTGATCCCCAATATATCAGTTGCCCATATTTTTATAATCTGTAAAGACTTTAACAGACATGTAGTGAACCCAAGGCTTTAGGATGCTTAAACTTCACAAAAACATCATCTCATCTAAACAGCTGACTGTTTAGCTTTCACCATCTGAAACAGCATTAAGAAATGAAAGTTATGGACAGCTATTAACATCAATGAAAGACCTGAAAGACCAAGAAGGAAACTGCTTTTGGACTGCCCAGGTATGAAAAGCAAAATCTGTGGCAGAAGAAGCTCATGACCGCATGTTTGCTGTAAGGTTTATAACGACAGATGAAGTAGTTCTCAAAAGATGCTGGGTTACTCAGAATCACATTGTTTAATATGCGAGTTTTATTAAAGATTTTCATTAAAACAATTACTACTAAAAAGCTAAAGACTACAATAGAATAGAACGTAGATTAAAGCTGCTGCAGATCACATGTATTTTTGTATATATTTTTTTGTATATTTGTATATATATTTGGAGTGAGAGGGCCATATTATCAATATTAGTGATTTTTAAAAATGGAAATATTGTGCTAATTATTTTTTTTAAAGATATTTCCAAGCCTAGCGCACCTACTCTTCTTTAAACAGAATGTTAACAATTATTCCATTTCAAAAGTTTCCCACTCAAACCCCCAACCCCAATGCAATGGCCCTACTGACTACTTTAAACCAATGAATCAGCATTCAAATCAGAAACAATTTGCTGTTTAGACCACAAAGGGCTGCAGGAAGAATTACTTTAGCATGAATATGACCTCCTGCCCCATCACACTCTATTCACACTCTGCTGTCTGAAGAGAGAGTGAAGATCACGGACCTCCCGTTTTCAGTTTCAATTAGATCAGAGGTTCCCAGTTTCAGTCCAGAAAGTCCACACCATCCACATTTTTACACATCTCCCTTATCCAACACTCCTAATTTAACTCATTAACTGATTGAATGAGGGTTAAAGTAGCAAAAAAACATATGTACAGCATGTGGTCTCCAGGACTGAGATTGGGAACATCTGAACTAGGCCATCAAACTCCTGGATGTCTCCCACACACTACACTCTTCTTTAAACAGACCTCAACACCCACCATATACATTCCTACCAGCTCTTAATCCATCAGCCATTGACCACCAACCCCCACCCAGACATTCACAGCTCTCAGGAAGCTCTTCGTATTGTTCTACAACAAACTGCTGTTTCCTCACCACATTTGTACAAACAGTTCTACCCATCTTGGATAATGTCAGCATATCAGTCACTATTTCTACATTAATTACAGCTACACAATCAATACATCATGAGCTCTTTTTGCACTTTGTTTTATAAGTGTATAAGTTGAGTTGACTTGATAACATTAGCACACAAAAGTAGAAAAGCTCATGGAATAAGCCAAGAAGCACAAAGACTGTTCCAAATGTTGACTGGAAAGCAAAAAACAATGACATTTTAATCAACTAGATAAAATAACTGACAATAAATAAAGGTGTAATTCAACAAATCAGAACCAAACTGTTCCATGTTTGCCGAATCCAACTAGGTAAACATTTTAAACCAAATATTCCGGCCCAGCAGCTCACATTACTCTGCAATGCTTCCCATTAATTAACTAGATTATGGCGGCCCATCAGAGTGTAATTTGTCCTGCCACAGTTCCACATTGAACATATCTTTACACTTCTTGTAAGAACATAAACAACATTGTGTTTTGCCAAAGCATCTCTCACTATCAGTCAGTAATTTTAGTCACTATAACATTTTCCCTTCTTATTCACAAACTGATCAAGCACCATTAATTACAGACAAATCAAAATGACTTTTTCATGTCTTTGGACCTCAGAGACCTTTCAACTGTTTTCTGGATTAATAAAAACTCATCACAATGTAAAATCAATACACATTTTATAATTATAATTATTTTAGACCCATTTTCAAACAAAAAAAATGTTATTAATGTGCTGATAACTTTATATGTTTCATTATTATGAGCTTTAAGCTGTTAAACAATACGTGCATTCATGCTTAGGAAGATTGTTTTCCAATCGACGAGTTATAAACGCATCATGGTTTCCCAAACAGCAACAAAACCCCAACACACAAACTTACCGCCTTACAATAACGCTAATATTTACGTGTTAACTCGGGATTCCCACGTGTTCTGATCCCAAACTGCCCTGCGAGCGAGGTCCTTCCACCACAGTGACCACAGTCCTGAAACAGCTCTGTCTGAGTGAAGCTGCTTCTGGGTGTCTGATCTACTTTAAAGCCATCAGATCTCATTTTCAGAACTCAGATGTGTCTCCAGCTGTTTGTCTCAGAGTGAATGAAGAACAGTGAGTGTTAAAGTCTCGGACAGATTCCTACCTTCAGCAGTTCATCCCTGGTTTCTGGTCATCCAACAACACTATCCGAGCGCGTGGACTGCTGACCACAACACAATCGTCTGCTTCTCCACTTCAGTGCAGTTGGAAAAAGTGAGAGCTGTAGAATTAGCGCCACCACCTGGTCTGAAGAGGCTTCACCAAAGTCCGTGTAGGAGAGTCTGTTCACTCTTCTGCCTTATAGACCTGCAAAAATGGCATCTTATCAAGTAAAATGACCTTAAATACAGTTAAATCTAATATCTCTCCTATTAAGATTGTTGTAAGCTTGAGACAAGATTATTTACTTCATTTCTAGACATTACTTACTTGTTTTAAGTTATTAAGGACATTTCTCACTATATCGGCAGCTGATTTTACCTGTTTTAACAAATGTGGGTGAAACTGGCAAAATTATCTGCCAATACAGTGAGATAATTTTACTTGATAAAAAGACCTAAAACAAGTAAATAATGTATAGAAACACGCTAGATAAACTTATAATAAGTGCACAACAATCTCAAAATGGGAAATATTAGATCTATCGATTAGATTTTAGATCATTTCACTTGACAAGATACCATTTTTTGCAGTGCAGACTCTAAATGGGGAGAGGCCAAACTACTCCAAACTGAAGGTCAAATTACCTTTTCAAACACATTCAAAATCACCCTTAAAATTTGACAAAAATCTTATAGTTTGTAGTATCTGGCTCAAATACAACACAAAAAAACATGATTTTCAGTCAGTTCTAGCTACTGCATTTGTGCATAGGCAACTGTAGTTGTGCGTTAGTCTGTAGTCCGCTTTATGCCCATATTAGGAACTCTGGATGTACGCTTGATTTCTCTATAGGCAGAATGAATAAGAGTTTTCAAAAAAGCGTTTCTATCACATCTATGTGGCACCATTTCTCTCTGAATTACGAGGTTATTAAAGGGCCTTAATAATAATATTGCTGCATGAGAGCTGAAGCTATTGCGCGTCAAATTGCCATCATTAAGCTACCTGAAAGTAAAGCGGGCTGTGAGTTCTGGCAAGTTGTGCTACCTTATCGAAATGTTCTACTGTAGCGCATGTTTATAGGTATACCTGTAAATGAAACCTCAGGGTAGAACATTTCAATCAAAAAACACCATCTGGGTTAAACCTACGAGGCAGAATTTAGGTTGTTTTTCGCCAAGTTCAAGTTAGGTTGTTTTTCTGGTTCAAGTTTTCTGTTCCACGTTACGTGATGCAGCAGTTGTGATGAGCTGTCACAAATAGTTGCAAACAGGACAAAGCAATACTGACCTGTTGCTTCTGTGAAATAGCAAAAACAAGTTCATGTTACTCAGCTTTGAAGCAGAAATAGAGAAGCCTGGTCATATCATGCCTTTCAACTCTCTATCTGAGATACATGAATCTGACCTCTCCTCGGTATGGTCTATGCATGCCTGTTGTACGTTGTGAGTTTGTGTGGTCTGCAGCTTCGTGGCTGAGCTGTTGTTGCTCCTAGATGCTTCCATTTCACAATAATAGCACTCACAGTTGTCTGGGGCAGATCTAGCAAGATAGACATTTCACAAACTGACTTGAGGCAGAGGTAGCATCCTATGAGTGCCGTTTTTAAAGTCATTGAGCTCATCAGTATGACCCATTCTACTGCCAGTGTTTGTCTTTTAAAACTGCAAGACTGTGCTTAATTTTATCTACCTGTTAGCAATGGGTGTGGCTGAAACACCTGAAAGCAGTAATTAGGTGTGTTCCATTACTTTTGTCTATACAGTATGTTTGATGGAGCTCTATCACTCTAGAGAACAATTTCATTGTTCCACACCCCAATGCCCCTCTAGCCCATGCTTGGCATTAGGCATAATGACTTTGGGATCATGTGGGGGTGCTACATAGTGTCTTATTCTATTCGTCAGTGCTCTTCTATGGAGTTTATACAAGCTGTGTGTGTATTTGAACTCCTGTGTGAGCAGTGGGTGCACTAATTAATGCAGGTAAATTCACTAATAAGAAGGGGTGTCCACAAACCTTTGGATATACAGTGTCAATAATTTAATAAGTTCTGATTTATGATTCAGATTTAAATCTACATTGTATAAGTAATCAAAAACTCTAAGCTACTAATATGCAGAGTAAGATGCGTAAAGAACGTCTGTAACACTTACAGAACACTGTACATCTTATTTTTAGTTGTGTGTAAAAGAAAAATAAGACCATGCATTAGTTTAAAAACTGAATGTGTTTAATACTCTCTTCATGAAATCGTAATCCACTTCATGTCTTTAAGCTTTTTTAGTCTACTTAAGTAAAAGTACTGTTACTGTAGTAACGATGTACTTGCAGTACAAGTATACATAAAGAAATTTTCTCAAGTAAAAGTAAATAAAGTAGTTCATTCGGAAACTAGTCAAATAATTTGGTATAATATATACAGACAAAACTAAAGAAACCATGATGTTACGAGTGCTGATTGACCACATTACCTTGGCTTTGAAAAACAGATTGAGAGTTCAAGTAATGGGTAGTTTACTTAGGTTATAATTTTTAGTGACAGCTGCCCATTAGCTCTGGAATGTCATCTTACATTAACTAACATTACAAAGAGTGAACATTATATATTCACAGCTACAAATTCTGGAAGTTAACTGAAACCCATATAGAACATTTCTACCATTGAAATCAGTGATAGAAGCAATTTATCCAGCTTTGACTTTCTTTACTGTGGTATTTTCATCTAGTAATCATAATTACTTAACACACAATCAGAAATTCCTTAAACGGCTGTATTGTCAGGCGGTTTTTGCCAGGGAGAACTGAGAAGCCCTGGTCTTGGTAGATCTCAAAAACCTAAGTGGGGTAAAGCTTATGTAGTATTGTGTAATTTACAGAAGAGTAAGAATGATTATAATAATTTAGAAATGTATGAAAAACACACATTTCTATAATGATATACCCCAAAAGCTAAAGAGATTCAGTTTCACAGAAAATATTTCTCAGGTTAACAGTAACATAAAACAAATTATTACAATAATAAAACAAACTAAAATGGGAAAAAATAATCCCAACAGGTTAACATTTTCACACAAACATAACCTCACAAGCAAAGGCTTAAATAAGACAAAGATGTATCAGAAATCAGCAGGCTAAAAGGGAGAAACAGCACGAGAAAGAAACAGAGCGTGAGATATAGACATGGCAGTGAAGAGCACCTGCAGGTGGCCACCCCCATCTAACAGAGACTTAGCCAGAGGAGTTGCACCAAATTATAGGTAAATTAGACCGTCTATATGCAGAATTACAGATTTTGATTCATCATTATAAATCTAATATAACTACAAAACTACTGCAGACTTGGACTGGATCAGGAACAAAACTGAACATAGTATCATATTGGTGAGGTTCAGTCAACAAAGATAGTGTCCCTCTTATGCATCCTAATGCAAATGCATCCTGGAAGAGTCAGTGAGGCCCAAGGCCTTGAAGGTACCTTTTGGTTACCTTTCACCCAGTTCTATGATGATGGAATCAGAGATGAATATAAAAAATAGAATTATCTCATGCCCACAATGCTCTTCTCAAGCAACAATCACTCTCCAAAGGTTCCCAAAGAACATCAACAGTCCTCAAAATCTCTGAAAAGTATAATGGAAAGTTCATGGTTGACTTGTAGACTGACTGTATGCGACTTTATGCCGCGTACAATAGGCATGCATAGATCACAATAAGGACATGTCAGCAGTACATACTACATACAGTTTTTCATACTTCTGTCTCTCTTTTACAAGCTGTTCAGTTCTACCCTCCATAACAAAGCTTCACTGCTGCAGTCTTCAGGGTCATGTCTCCTTTGTGGCAGCATTAACATTAGTTGTTGTGTAGGAATCAAATAAGTAAAAGAGGGATTCTAGGAGCCAAGCACCCTGTGTGGTCAAAACTTCCATCTTTGCAACAGAAACACTATATTAAATTAGAAAGCTTCTTTAGAAAGTATATTTTTAATACTATTTGTGAACTTTTATTTCATTTTGTGCTCACGAATTGCAAAAAGTGTAATACAACAAAAGCGGAATTAACCCTGGAATTTGTGAAGGTTGCACTCAGTACTACCCATTTCCACCACTGCCCTTTAGTACACTTGTGTGTTGTTGCAGTCTTTGAATGCCTGAAATTCTTCCCACACTCCGAGCAGTAATACGGTTTCTCTCCTGTGTGAATGAGATGGTGTTGTTGGAGATAACTCAGACGAGTAAAACTCTTGCCACACTCTGAGCAGTGATACGGTTTAACTCCTGTGTGAATGCGCTGGTGTTGTCGGAGATGAGTCTGTTGACTAAAACTCTTCCCACACTCTAAGCAGTGATACAGCCTCTCTCCTGTGTGAATGCGCTGGTGGAGCTGGAGAGAACTCTGTTGACTAAAACTTTTTCCACACTCTGAGCAGTGATACGGCTTCTCTCCTGTGTGAATGCGCTTGTGTTGTTGGAGGTGACTCTGTACAGTAAAACTCTTCCCACACTCTGAGCAGTGATACGGCTTCTCTCCAGTATGAGTGCGCTGGTGTATTTTAAGATGACTCTGATGATAAAAACTCTTCTCACACTCTGAGCAGTGATACGGCTTCTCTCCTGTGTGAATGCGCTGGTGTGTTTTCAGATTACTCAGTTTAGTAAAACTCTTTCCACACTCCAAGCAGTAGTGATTTCTCTCCTTGCTGCGTTTCTGTGTTTGCCTGTCAGATGTGTTTGTGTAAATGGGACCAGATGATGTTTGCTGAGTACCAGAACTTCTTCTGGATGCCATATTTTATATTTGACCTGTTTCAACCTTTTCTGACGTGTTTATGGAAGCACATTTAAACTGGGTAGGGAGGTGCAGAGGAAGAAGACTTGAAACAGGACCCCCTTCATTTCTGGAAGGAGAAAAAGAAAATATAAACTTAATGTGCAATGCAACAACAGTCTGATCAAAATCATGAATGCTTCACTTACATCAACTGGCAGAAAATCTAAAAAATAAACTTTCATCTGTGGAAAACTCGAACGCCTTATCCATCAATCTCTTCACATAGACATATAAACCACTGAAGTTGTGTGAAGTTCTATGATGATATTAGAAACTCCAGGGCTAAGCTGGATTTGTCCATGGCAAAAAGGACTGGAATTTGAGATGTTTTACCCCATGTACATTCTCCCACTGAATGTTACTGGATCTTCTGTTTTACAAAGTCTTAAAGAAGCCAAAATATGAACTTTGTTACATGCGATTTTTTGTAAGGTCTTAGAGCTTATTTGACTCATTAAGCCTTAATCCAAGACACACACCCACATACACACACATTATGTAAGCTGCTAATCCTCATGGGTCATTGGGCGGAAGGCAGAAAACACTCTGGACAGACCGCCAGTCCATCACAGGGCTAATCCAAGACATGTATAGTCAATTTTAGAGCATAATAAATTATGACAAACATGGACTCATCTAAACAGCTGACTGGGTTTCTGAAACTATAGATAATTGAGTGACACAGCAAGGAAGCATCATAAAATATATCTAAGTACTACCTGCTTATAAACTTTTACTGTCTGAAACAGGACAGCTGTTGAGGTCAAGGCAAGATTATCAAGACCAAGAAAAATTCCTGAGAAAAACTGCTTGTAGACTGGCCAGGTATGCAAAGCAAAACCCCCACCTCACTACCAAAGACCTTGAGAAAGATTTGGCTGGCACAGTTATGCATTGACTTACTGTGCAGTATTATCGCACAATCATCATCTACATGGAAACATTATTAAAGGGTAACCTAAACTCATTACAAATTTCAACACATGAGATGTGTAAACAACTCCTGGATATACCAGAGGCATTTTCAAATCAAGTGCTGTGGTCTAATGAAACAGAAACAGATTTTTTTTTGTTTTAATTTACTAAAATTTGTTTTCTCTAAGAAAGAATAAGTAATTGAGCGATTTTCTTGTGTATGGTCTAGCTTAATCATGATGAAATAGTCCATGCTGGTCATTTTTAGCAAATGATAAACTTTATTTGTGTCTAACTTGCACATCTGAACTAAACCATCAAGCTCCTGAACGGCTCTCACACACTACACCCCCTCTAAACAGACCTCAAACACCCACCACAGGCATTCCTACCAGCTCTTATTCTAACAGACATTGACCACCAACCCCCACCCAGACATTCACAGCTCTCAGGAAGCTCTTCACATTGTTCTAGAACAAAATGCTGTTTTCTCACAACATTTGTACAAACAGTTCTACCAATCATGGAAAATGTCAGCATATCAGTCACTAATTCTACATTAATTACAGCAACACGTTCAACATGGCATGAACTCTTTTTACACATTGTTTCATAAGTGAATGGTTGACAAGATCTGCATTGTGTGTTCAAACTGACAATAGAGCAGATAGTCATACACATGAAGGGCTCATTTTTACAGTCTGTTTGAAAATGAAGGAGTTAACTTGATAACATTAGAACACAAAAAGAATGCAGAATAATTGAAGCACGAGATAAGCCAAGAATCAGTCATGATATAAAGAACATGTATTTGAAGTTTCCGATGTCTTTGTAAATAACATGCCAAATGCATCAGAAGCAAACTGCTCTATGTTTGCAAAACCCAACCAGGAAAACATTATCAACCATATATTCTGGCCCAACAGCTCACATTACTCAGCTCTTGAATATTTCCTATTAACTACCCAGACTGTGACAGCCCGCTTTGATCAAATTTGTACCATTGGTTGGTAGCAAACATACAAGATTGTCATGCACATGCTCTGACAATGTATCTAACCATTTTCAGCCTCTGAGACTATTCATGTAATGCTAGGTTAATTTTAATGTTTACTCTGTTTACTTTTCTGTGTATTCTCTGTTCAGTGTTTTATATTTAAAATGAACCAGTTGAACCCAGGTCAACACTTCTCCTTCATTTCTTTGAGGACTGAAATGTATGCTCTAGTCATTTTTTTTTTCTTTGACCATCTGTGAACTCCTTTACTATGCTTTGTGGGTGTGATCTTCGTGCTGTGCCTTCACCAATCATACCCAAACACAGTGTGTTTATGATTAAATTACTAAAGCACACAACTATTTAGAGCACAAAGTTCCTTATAAATAAAAAATTAACTTGGGGAAGTGTGCCCCCGGACCCCCCTCTAGGGTCAGAGAAATTTTGAAATTAAAAACATACCATCTTTAAAATAAAATAATGTAGCCTAGTGCAAAAATGTAAGGTCATTTTTCATGTTAAGGTGTTAATAAATATTCTGTTTTGCATGTTTAGCAGCCGAACTCAATGCTGGAGCCCTATAGACCACTTTAAATAAATACGTCTTTTTTACTTTTTACAACAAAACTGTCACTTATGCTTTTATGTGTGAATGAGGTTCTGTTTGGACCACAAAGGTCTTCATCAGGAATATGACTACCCACCCCATCACACTCATGCTGTCTAGAGAGAACGTGAAAAGATCAAGGACCCAAATTAATCTCAGTTTAACCCAAAAATACACATAATCTCATGAAACTTGATAACATTAGCACACAAAAGAACAGAAACACATGAGATAAACAAAGAATCACAAAGCTTGTTCCAAAGAGCTGGCTGGAAAGCAAAAAACGCCATTTTAATCCTGTAGACAAAAGCATTATTACCTCAATAAATTAACTGTCTGGTTTTCCAAATAGAATATATATTATAACTCATGAATAAAATCATAGACAAACTGCAGCTCACATTACTCAGCTCTGTCTGAATGAAGCTGCTTCTGGGTGGCTGATCTATTTTAAAGCAATCAGATCTTATTTTTTAGAACTCAGATGTGTCTCCAGCTGTTTGTCTCAGAGTGAATGAAGAACAATGAGTGTTAAAGTGTCGGACAGATTCCTACCTTCAACAGTTCAGCTCTGGTCTCAGGTCCTCCAACAACAGTGTCTGAGCGCGTGGACTGCTGACCACAACACAATCTTCTGCTTCTCCACTTTAGTGCAGTCGGAGAAAGTTAGAGTTACAGAATTAGCGCCACCACCTGGAACCCTTTTCACAATGGAACCCGCGGTCACGGAAACGGGCGGAATGGTCGTTCTTTTTAATCCCACCCGTATTCAAATCCCGCGCTCTGTTTGGGTAACAGCAAGGGTTCAACTTTGGGAGCAAGATCTGTTTAGCAGATATTAAACAGCTTTTGGAAAGAAAAACATACAGCGAAAAAACATACCGAACAAATCTCGCCATAAGAATTACAACCTGAAAATGCAGCGGTTTAAATGATTATAATGCGGCTGGAGAAGAAAACACTTCTCAAGTATATTAACACTGGTCAGAATTCCAGCTGTGGTCAGTTATTTCTCCTGGGTTTGATCATGACAGGTTGATAATAATTTTCCTTTCATAGTAAAATCTAAATTTCAAAGATATTTCTCTCATAACTACTTAAAAGCTAATAAATGTTTATTTTCTCTAAATATCACATTAATAAGAAGTTATGGAACTCTCCATGTATGTCAACACTGCACAGTTTAAGTGAAATAAGGACAATTAATAAAAAAAGGACTTACAATTTGTATCTAAGCTATTCTGTCTCAATTTATGTCCCACTCCATCCTATAATAAAGCTGTTCTCACCTCATGTCTGTCATAAAAACAAGACGTAACATCACTCTCGCTCCCTAATGGTTTAACACCTGGAAGCACGTCATGTTACTTACTAGCAAGTGGATCATAGGAGCAAAGCTATCTAGATAAGTTAATCTATCTAGATAAGATAAGCTAATAATGTTGTGTAACTTAACAGAAAAATACTTACTCGCCCTCAAAACAAACCTAATATCTGGGAACTTTCTCCTCTTCTGATTCCTTTATGGTAGCTCTCTTATCACGACAAAAGGAGTCCTCAAAAACAAGTGGATGTAGTTCATAAACATTTTTAAGGTTTCAGAACATACCATTCTTTCGTCAGTCCGTAAAGTCTATATGTGGAATCTAACTGACCTTTTCTGTGGCGTCACAAAAATTTTGCGTGCATATGACCAATCAGTCTACAGCAGTTTAGCCCCGCCCATTTTCACTGAAATTAAAAGTGTTTCAGCCTGGAGCACTTTTTTGAATGAGGTACAATACAGAGCAGCCAATCAGAGCAGAAGTCATTTACACATATGACTCTATGAGTTTCAGTAATAAAACTGGTTTAATTCTAAGGGATGAAGAAAGGTTGGAAAACAGTCATGTAAAAAATGTATTATGACTCATTTTGGTACAAAAAAAAACCCCACACAAACGGCATAAATGGAATCATCACAAGAGATAAGATACGAGCCCTTTTAATGCCATTTTAGCTTCTTAAACAAACGCCTCCTTTCAATCTTTTCATTTTGCTACCACAAATATCTGTGATGCACTAAACTAACTAAATAGACCATGTTTCATTTTTTGACATCATCTGCAGAAATCATGAGTACAGTTTTCCATAAAATGCCCATCTATATGGCTGCATTTTAGATCTTCACACTTCCCGAAGGAAGCATGTTTTTTTCTTAAGATCACGTGTTCCTTGTCTTAGAAATAAAGCCCCAATCTGTATAAGAAATTCCTGTTTCTGAATTCTTCCTCATAAACACTCTTCAAGAGAAAAGAGGAGCTCAACGCTAAGATCTTATACACTGATAGATGCTGAAAGATTTCTGAGAAAAGTGCTTTATAAGGAGGAGAAGTATGTGCTAATGTTTCAGCTGACAGCCTGGCTTTTTCCCGAGGTGATATACTCGAACAGTCAGTATCAAAACAGACATGTCTTCAAAACAGAAGGATTTTCTTTAAAAAGGCGGCATTGTGGGAGGAAGAAATCTGCTGCTCTGTCAGGGCTCCCTGAGGTTTTGTGGTTAGACAACTTGATTTTTGCTTTGGACAGCGAGTAAATTCCTTAAGGTGATCTAAACTGAAGCTCTGATGACCAAGAGGAGAGGTGAGACAAAACGAGACATACTTTAAAGATGGAAGAAACTCTCTGCAAATCGTGTTGAAACAACCCCGGAACCTCATTATACTCTGGCCTCTCCAAACTCCAGAAAAACTCACGAGTAAACAATTGAAATTAGCTCGTCTGTGAAAAGTGACATCCTCGAAGCAATTTCTGCCTTGTCCGCCAAACATGACCAAACCTTCAAAAAATAAATAAATAAATAAACACATTGAAAAGTCTGCAGTCAAATCTGAGGCTCTGAGAAACATCTCAGATTATTGTTAGATTTGGTGGGAGAACAATATATATATATGTATATATATATATATACATATATAATTAACTATATAATAATGCAGCTTAAATTTAAATAAGCTTAACTTTTCTCATCTTCTCCAATCTGTAATCAAAACTTTGACCTGCAGTCATTCCTACAGAGACTAGTCTGCTGCCTTAAATGTTATTAGAAGTACTCCTGACTAGATTGAATGGAACACATTTTTTTATATTGCAAGAGGTTTAAGGCAGACTTTTTTAAGTAAAAATGCACTCTTGCTTATCAGATTTAAATATTTGGAACAATAAATGAGGTAATAATATCTGGGTTTCACTTGGTATTAACCGTTCTGCAGTACTAAAAGGTACATTAAATTGGGATATTTTGGAGAGATAATCACATGGATGTTGGTGTGGAGAATGGGGAATGCCAGTTCTTCAGAGCATTGAATGATGGTTCTTATGTCAGTAGCATTTGAGAATGCCATCTATATTATACGTTACCTTTTAAATCAACAATGAGGTCATTACTAATTTAGAACTCCCTTAGCACCTCCCTGAACAATCTCTCTACCAGGTAAGACAATGTCAACAAAGTACGAGGTTGAAGAGGGTTTTATTCCTGCTGCAGTGTCAATAACAATGTGTAAGAACCACAAACCTGTACTTCAGCTACAGGCTGGAATCAGTGCAGAGAAAATACATCAATACATCATTTGAAAATTTGTGTGCAAATATAAGCAGTGTTGTACCACCATGCAAAGTAGTCACACTTTGCTCTTTAAATGTTCTTTATTAAAGAACAACAGGAACAGAAAACATAGCATTGCATTGAAACAATGGGGAAGGTCACCATTAGCCAGAGACTTTCACCCCACTGGGACCAACCCCCAAACACAAAACACCCACAACCCCAGAAACAATAAAACACATATAACACACAATGCATCCTCAAACTAACAAATAACGTTAACAACCTTGATGTTCCTTTTCATGGGGAACCCATGCCTCCCATGAGCCTCTTCTCATGGCACATCTTCATGGCCATGCCTCCGGAACCCTCGAGGGCCTGCACTGGCCCCGCACTGGCCTTGCACTTCAAGCTACAGTATCTCAACAGTGCTGGAACCTATGCTAGAGTTCTGTTTGTGGACTTCAGCTCAGCATTCAGCATCAAACTGAAAGGTTTTCAAGGGGTGCTTGAGGACCTTTGAGTGCTCAGTGCATGGCTTGACTTGGTGTTCAGCACAGGAAATTATGTTTCATTTTATGTTCGTACTTCCAAAAGAGTAAAAAAATGATGGGTTTTCTCTTTAAAAAAATGTTTAAATAAAACTATTATCTAGATTTTTTTTAAATTGGGGACAGATGCACTGTTTCCCTCCAGACTCCCAGCATGGTATTATGGTTGCACTCATTACTGCCCATTTCCACCACTGCTCTTAATACACTTGTGTCTCTTCACAGAATAAGAATGCCTGAAACTCTTCTCACACACTGAGCAGTGATGCGGCTTCTCTCCTGAGTGAATTCGCTGGTGTGATTTGAGATGACTCTGATGACTAAAATTCTTGCCACAGTCTGAGCAGTGATACGGCTTCTCTCCCGTGTGAATGCGCTGGTGTGTTTTGAGATTATTCTGATGCCTAAAATTCTTGCCACAGTCTGAGCAGTAATACGGCTTCTCTCCTGTGTGAACGCGCTGGTGTTGTTTGAGAGAACTCTGTTGATTAAAACTCTTCCCGCACTCTGAGCAGTGATACTGCTTCTCTCCTGTGTGAATGTGCTGGTGTGTTTTAAGAGTTCTCTGAAGATTAAAACTCTTGCCACAGTCTGAGCAGTAATATGGTTTAACTCCTGTGTGAATGCGCTGGTGTGCTTTGAGTTGACTCTGACAACTAAAACTATTGCCACACTCTGAACAGTAATATGGTTTAACTCCTGTGTGAATGCGCTGGTGTATTTTGAGATTACTCTGACGATTAAAACTCTTTCCACACTCAGAGCACTGATACGGCTTCTCTCCTGTGTGAATGCGCTGGTGTGTTCGGAGATTACTCTTTACAGTAAAACTCTTTCCACATTCTGAGCAGTAATATGGTTTCTCTCCTGTGTGAATGCGCTGATGTCTTCGGAGAGTATGCTGCTCAGTAAAACTCTTTCCACACTCTGAGCAGTAATATGGTTTCTCTCCTGTATGACTGCGCTGGTGTATTTGGAGAGAACTCTGTTGATTAAAACTCTTCCCACACTCTGAGCAGTGATACGGCTTCTCTCCTGTGTGAATGCGCTGGTGTGTTTTGAGATAACTATGATGACTATAACGATTACCACACTCTGAGCAGTGATACGGCTTCTCTCCTGTATGAATGAGCTGGTGTGCTTTGAGATGACTCTGAAAATTAAAACTCTTGCCACAGTCTGAGCAGTAATATGGTTTAACTCCTGTGTGAATGCGCTGGTGTGTTTTGAGAGAACTCTGAAAATTAAAACTCTTGCCACAGTCTGAGCAGTAATATGGTTTAACTCCTGTGTGAATGCTCTGGTGTGTTTTGAGAGTACTCTGACGACTAAAATTCTTGCCACACTCTGAGCAGTGATACGGCTTCTCTCCTGTGTGAATGCGCTTGTGTGTTTTAAGATTACTCAGGTCAGTAAAACTCCTCCCACACTCTGAGCAGTAATACAGCTTCTCTCTTGTGTGAATGCGCTGGTGTCTTTTGAGAGCACTCAAACAATTACAACTCATTTCACACTCTGAGCAGCTGTGAGTTCTCTCCTTGCTGAGTTTCTGTGTTAGTCTGTGAGATGTCTTCATGTGGAGGGGAACAAATGATGTTTGCTTGGTACTGGAGCGTCTTCTGGATGTCATATTCTTGTATTTTACCTGTTTGAACAGCTGAACACTGCTCTTGCTAGAATGTCCTGGCTTGCAAAAGTGCACTCTACAAGCAGTAGAAAGTCTTGAAGCAGAACGAAATTCATTTCTGGAAGAAGAAAATGAATAAGACAAAAAAAATCAAAACTCAATGTGAAATGCCACAAAAATAGTCTAAAGAATGAATGCCCTACTTACATCATCTGGCAGAAAGAGTAAAGAAAGCATAAACTTCAATCTGATGTGGAAAAGCAATCACCTAATCAGCCATATCAAATGCACATACTAAGTGGATGGAAATGTTTGAGGTGCACTCTGATCTTGCCATTTCAGCACTTTTCATCTAAACTAAAAAAGTAGTTTGCTTGTAGTTATTTTGTGTACCATTCCCAACCAGCTACAATATTGGCATGGGATGCAATTAAATCAGCTTTAAAAAATTTAGTACTAGTCCATTAGATGAAGGCCTGCAAAACTCACCCTATACTTATTTTCTTACCTGCTGTGACAGTGTTTTTATGTGCTTGTATTGACTGTAATTTTGACTGTACCTATTCATGTTTGTTTACACTGAACAGGACTGTAAGCTACATGTCTGTTGAAAGCTAATAAAAACTTGATCAAAGAAAAACACAGGACAGTGGCTCACCAGGACTGAATTTGAAAACCTCTGGACACAAAACACAAAAGGGTAATGTAGCTCCACTCCAACAACAAAAGAGGTCAAACCAGCAAGACTGCATGGAACTGAAAGATAAACAAAACACCCATCCCTTGATTGGAAACACAAAAATTACCAGGCTCGTTCCATGGTTAAATAAAATAATTGTTATGGAAACAGGTGATAGTGATGTAATTTATCAGTTAGTCTAGTAAACAGCAAAACTGCTGTATTACCTAAAAAGTCAAATTACACATTCTTAGATGCCCCCTATCTCATACTGTGTCCCTAAACTTGGTCTGCACACCTATGGCACGATTACAACTCATAACTTCTGGTGATTCGTATTATATACTTGTGGATGTTGGAGAGGGTTGGTTCTTCATTATGCTTTTTCCCCTCAAAATGATACAGCACAATATAGCTTTTCTATTGTCATCTAGTGCAGTGGTCACCAACCATTACCATTACATGTAGCGTATGTAGTATACATCATGAATAAATCAGAAACAATTTGCTCCATTTGCCAAACCCAACTAGGAAAACACCATCAACCAAACCTTCTGGCCCAGCAGCTCACATTACTCAGCTCTGGTTTAAATAAAGCTGCTTCTGGGTGTCTAATCTCTTTTAAAGACATCAGATCTTATTTCCAGAACTGAAATGTGTCTCCAGCTGTCTGTCTCAGAGTGAATGAAGAACAGTGAGCGTTAAAGTGTCGGACAGATTCCTACCTTCAACATTTCAGCTCTGGTTTCTGTTTTTCCAGCGACTCTGAGCTCGTAGACTGATGAACGCAACAATCTTCTGCTTCTCTCACTTTAATGCAGTTGGAGCAAGTTAGAGTTCCACAATTAGCGCCACCACCTGGCTTGAATCGGCTTTGTTATTTTAAATCCCACATGTATTCGGTCAAGCCCCGTCTCCAGCGCTCTGTTTGGGTAAAAGCATATTAAATTATTGATTTAAATACCATAATGTACAGAAAAAAATTCTGCCAAACTGCAGCCGTTCAAAACTGGACAGAATGTAAAAAACAGCCTTTTCAGAGCAAGCCTATAATACACTTTATCATTCTCAACTAAAATGATTATCATCCTATAAAAATTACTATTACTTTTAGAACATTCAGAGAACATTCAAATGATTTTAGTTCATATACAATAAATTAAAGTTTAAACTTTTGCTAAATAGCCAAGCAAGGTTAACAGGGTTTGCCAAAATGCTACATACAAACGGATACCTACAGTTAAATGTGCCAGAAATTTAATTTATACATGTTCTCCTTCTTATGCCAATATCATTAATGGGTCAGGGAATAACGTTAAATTTGCCAGTGGGTATCAAAACTACAGCAATAAATGAAGTACATCTGCAGAGTGTGAGTGAAATATGTCATTTAGTGAGGTAAATCTGTAGAGTCTGAGTGAAATGATACGTTAACTGAGGTAAACCTGCAGTACCCGTGTAAAATACAGCATTAGCTGAGGTAAATCTGGAGAGACTGAATGAAATACAGGCATTAACTGAGGTAAATCTGAAGATCCTGAGTGAAATATGGCATGAACTGAGGTAAATCTGGAGAGGCTGAATGAAATATGGCATGAACTGAGGTAAATCTGGAGAGGCTGAATGAAATATGGCATGAACTGAGGTAAATCTGGAGAGGCTGAATGAAATATGGCATGAACTGAGGTAAATCTGGAGAGGCTGAATGAAATATGGCATGAACTGAGGTAAATCTGGAGAGGCTGAATGAAATATGGCATGAACTGAGGTAAATCTGGAGAGGCTGAATGAAATAAGGCATTAACTGAGGTAAATCTGGAGAGGCTGAATGAAATAAGGCATTAACTGAGGTAAATCTGGAGAGGCTGAATGAAATATGGCATGAACTGAGGTAAATCTGAAGAGGCTGAATGAAATAAGGCATTAACTGAGGTAAATCTGGAGAGGCTGAATGAAATATGGCATGAACTGAGGTAAATCTGGAGAGGCTGAATGAAATATGGCATGAACTGAGGTAAATCTGGAGAGGCTGAATGAAATAAGGCATTAACTGAGGTAAATCTACAGAGGCTGAGTGAAATAAAGAACTACTATTTACGAACTGTTCAGTTTTAGCAGTTACAGTTTTAAAAAAAATGTGCGTCCATTGCTGGTTGTGTTATTGCATTAAAGTTTATCTGCACATTATAATTTAAAGTATTTGTTTTTAAAGATGCATCTCAGTGCTGCATAAATCCAAAGATTATCTATGCGGTTACTCAATCCGAGCGCTGGAGGCGGGGGTTGACTGAATACGGGTGGAAATATAAAATTCTTCAAGCCAGGTGGTGGCGCTAATTTTGTTATTCTAAATTTCTCCAACAGCGCTAAAGTGCAGAAGCAGAAGCTTGCGTTGTGGTCAACAGTCCAGGCGCTCAGACAGTGTTGTTATAAGAATAGAAACCATAGCTGAATTATTGAAGGTAGGAATCTGTCCACATTTCATTCACTCTGAGACAAACAGCTGGAGACATGTTTGAGATCTGATGGCTTTAAAATAGATCAGACACCCTGGAGCAGCTTCATTCAAAAGAGAGCCGAGTAATGTGAGCTGCTGGGCCAGATTTGGTTGATAATGTTTTTCTTACTTGAGTGTGGCAAATGTAGAGCAGTTTATATCTATTTTATTCATGATTAATACTACATATACTTGGAACACATATCATTTAATTTATTGTAGTAATAATGTTCTTATTTAGTGAATTAAAATATTGTTTTTGCTTCCCAACGAACTTTTCTTGATTTTTTGTGATTCATCCCATGAGCTTCTGTTCATTTATGTTCTAATGTTATCAAGTCACCTCCTTCATTTTCAAACAAACAGTCAAGATGAGTCCTTTATATGCAAGACTATCTGCTCCACTGTCAATTTGTAAACATAAATATCAATAACAGTAATAACAATATTAATAACAATAACAATGATAAAAAAACAAAACATAACGTAGATCTTATCAATCATTCAACAATAAATAAAAACAATGTGCAGAAACAGATCATGCCATATTGAACGTGGAGCTGTAATTAATGTAAAAATGTAGACTGATATGCTGACATTATCCAAGCTTGGTACAAATAGTTAAACCCATCTGGTGCAAAAACAGCAGTTTGTTTCTAGAATAATCTGAAGTTCTTCCTGAGAGCTGTGAATATCTGAGTAGGGGTTGGTGGTTAATGGCTGGTAGATTAAGAGCTGGTAGGAGTGTCTATGGTGGGTGTTTAAGGTCTGTTTAGAGGGGGGTGTAATGTGTCATTCAGGAGCTTAATGGTCTAGTTCAGATGATCCCAATCCCAGACTACATACTCTGCATATTTTTGAGCTGTCCCTACTTTAACACTCACAATCCAGCATTTAATCAATTTATGTGTTGAATTTGTAGTGTTAGATATGTGAAAGTACACACGTGCAGAGTGTGGAGTCTCCAGGACTGGAACTGGGAAACTCTGATCTAAATGAAACTGAAAACTGGTGTCATTGTTTTGTTTTTTTTTGTTTGAGGTAAAAAGATTTATTTAGTTAGGTAGTTAGGTAGACATCGGCCAACCCCTGAGCAGTTTTTTTCAGAGATATTTCTCGATCTTCCAGATCCTGCCTTGACTTCAATAGATGTCCATAACTGAATTCTTAATGCAGTTTTAAAGTTTATAGGCAGAAAGTATTCAGATTTATTTAATATTCTTCTCATGCTTTGTAAAAGTAATCTATCTATAGTTTCATATACCCAGTCAGCTGTAGATGAGCCCATGGCTGTTTACAAGATCACATAATTGATTATGCTCTGAAATTGTCTAAAGCAGAGGATACAGTAACATTCAATGGAAAAATGTACATAGGATAAAATCTATTGAGGTAGGAATCATTTTGTCCCAGTCATTTTTGGCATGAGGACATCCAGTTTAGTTTCCAATATTAGCAGCCACACAACCTCAATGGTCTATATGCCTATTTAAAGAGTTTGGGTGACTGGCTTTTCCATGTTAGATGTAAATGGTTTTTTTTTACACTTTTTGACAGTTGATTTAAGTGGAGCATTTGTGATTTGGATCAGACTACTTTTGTTGCCTTGCACATAAAGTTTAGGTTGTCTTTTTGTGTTCTTCCAGAAATGAATGATGGCCTGTTTCAAGTACTGCACTTTCCTGCCCGGCTTAAATATGCTCCTGTAAACAAGTCAGGACATTTCACCAAGTGGGACGTTGAACTTCTGAAACAGGTTAAACATAAAAATATGGCATCCAGAGGACTTTGTGGTACTCAGCAAACATCATCTGGTACCCTCCACATGAACAAATCTCACAGACAAACACAGAAACGTAGCAAGGAGAGAAATCACAACTGCTTGGAGTGTGGAAAGAATTTTAATCATGAGAGTCATCTCAAAAGACACCAGCGCATTCACACAGGAGAGAAGCCGTATCGCTGCTCAGAGTGTGGGAAGAGGTTTACTCGACAGAGTACTCTCAACATACACCAGCTCATTCACACTGGAAAAAAGCCATATTGCTGCTCAGAGTGTGGAAAGAGTTTCAATCATCAGAGTTATCTCAAAATACACCAGCGCATTCACACAGGAGAAAAGCCGTATCACTGCTCAGAGTGTGGGAACAGTTTTACTCAACAGAGTACTCTCAAAATACACCAGCGCACTCACACAGGAGAGAAGCCGTATCACTGCTCGGAGTGTGGGAAGAGTTTTAATCAGCAGAGTAATCTCCAAGAACATCAGCGTGTTCACACAGGAGTTAAACCATATTATTGCTCAGATTGTGGGAAGAGTTTCACTCAACAGAGTAATCTTAAAACACACCAGCGCATTCATGCAGGAGAGAAGCCGTATCACTGCTCAGAGTGTGGGAAGAGTTTTACTGTACAGAATCATCTTAAAATACACCAGCGCATTCACACAGGACAGAAACTGTATCTCTGTTCAGATTGTGGGAAGAGTTTTACTCAACAGAGTCATCTCCAACAACACCATCTCATTCACACGGGAGAGAAGCCGTATCACTGCTCAGAGTGTGGGAAGAGTTTTAGGTGTTCAAAGTCTGTGACAACACACAAGTGCACCAAAAGCAGTGGTGAAAACGTGCAGCAATGGGTGTAACATGAACACATTCTGGAAGTAAAAGTCTCATGGAAACGGTGCTTCCAGCCCAGAATTCAAACTGTTTTTAGGGGAAACCACCAATTTTTGTTTTACCCTGTTTCTAAAGCACGAGCATAAAATGAAATATAATTTCCTGTGCTGAACACCATGTCTGGTCAACAGCTCACACACCCAGTGAGGCGTGCTTCTTCATATTCATATATTCATTTGTAATATATGTTGAAAAGTTCAATATAAATTTTCAATATAATATAATATAATTTTTTTTTTCCTTTCTAATTTAGTATATCTGTGCTAATAAAGTACACTATATTGCCAAAAGTATTCACTCACTCATCCAAATCATTGAATTCAGGTGTTCCAATCACTTCCATGGCCACAGGTGTATAAAACCAAGCACCTAGGCCTGCAGACTGCTTCTACAAACATTAGTGAAAGAATGGGTCGCTCTCAGGAGCTCAGTGAACTCCAGCGTGGTACCGTGATAGGATGCCACCTGTGCAAGTCCAGTCGTGAAATTTCCTCACTACTAAATATTCCACAGTCAACTGTCAGTGGTATTATAACAAAGTGGAAGTGATTGGGAATGACAGCAACTCAGCCACGGAGTGGTAGGCCACGTAAAATGACAGAGTGGGGTCAGCGGATGCTGAGGTGCATAGTGTGCAGAGGTCACCAACTTTCTGCAGAGTCAATTGCTACAGACCTCCAAACTTCATGGGGCCTTCAGATTAGCTCAAGAACAGCGTAGAGAGCTTCATGGAATAGGTTTCCAAGGCCGAGCAGCTGCACCCAAGCCTTACATCACCAAGCACAAGGCAAAGCGTCAAATGCAGTGGTGTAAAGCGCCGCCACTGGACTCTAGAGCAGTGGAGACGTGTTCTCTGGAGTGACGAATCACACTTCTCCGTCTGGCAATCCCATGGACGAGTCTGGGTTTGGCAGTTGCCAGGAGAACGGTACTTGTCTGACTGCATTGTGCCGAGTGTAAAGTTTGGTGGAGGGGGGATTATGGTGTGGGGTTTTTTTTCGGGAGTTGGGCTCGGCCCCTTAGTTCCAGTGAAAGGAACTCTTAATGCTTCATCAGAGAAAATCTGAGATTTTGGACAATTTCATGCTCCTAACTTTGTGGGAACAGTTTGGGGACGGCCCCTTCCTATTCCAACATGACTGCGCACCAGTGCACAAAGCAAGGTCCATAAAGACATGGATGAGCGAGTTTGTTGTGGAAGAACTTGACTGGCCTGCCCTCAACCCGATAGAACACCTTTGGGATGAATTAGAGCAGAGACCTTCTCATCCAACATCAGTGTCTGAACTCACAAATGCGCTTCTGGAAGAATGGTCAAAAATTCCCATAAACATTCTCCTAAACCTTGTGGAAAGCCTTCCCAAAAAAGTTGAAGCTGTTAAAGCTGGAAGGGTGGGCCGACATCATATTAAACCCTATGGATTAAGAATGGGATGTCACTCAAGTTCATATGCGTGTGAAGGCAGGCGAGCGAATATTTTGGCAATATAGTGTACAGTATGAAGGTTTTGGGCCTTGTTAAGATTGGTTTGATTGAGTTTTTTTACTTCTTCATTTTCTTTCTCTTTCTCTCTCACACTTAGGAACCCACTTACTTGTGAGTGTGATTGTGTCTTGCGAAACGACGTGCGTCTGACTGGTGTGTGAAGGCAGACAAGCTAATACTTTTGGAAATATAGTGTATTTCAGATGCAATGACTGATGTTTTCACAAACATTTGACAGTGTGCTTGGCTTGTTGAGTTCCTTTTTTGCTTTCTTGACTCTTACGTTAATCAGTTTGTTGTTATGAAGGTGCCACTTTTGTCTTCCTTTTTTAATGTTTTCTGAATGTTCTATGTTATGTGTTCTTGTTGAGGACTGTAATGAAGAAGTTATGACCCTGAAGACTGCAACAGTGAAATTTTTGCTGTGCTGGGCAGAAATTCTGATGTTATTTCTCAGCTGTTAGGATTTAAGAGATTCTGGTGCTGCTTTACTCCAGAGAGCTGAACTGTTCATTTCAGTTCAGACGCTCTAAAATGAACAGTTATTCCAGTGAGCTTAGAGCACATATTCACTATATACAAACAACAGTTCTCTCTTTCTGTATAACTGTATCCTCCCCCTGTAACTCCTCGGAACCACAGTACTGTGGTTCCATATACAACTGTATAAATGTTTTTATCATCCTGTAATAGACTGTAAATTATAGTTCTCTGCACATAGATATACATTTACGTGTTACAAATTCACATCCCTTTGCTTTTTCCATGTTAGTGGTTTTGTATATAAATGTCGTTTATTCACATAATTCTATTTGTACTTATTTATCTTTTTTTTTAGAATTTCTTATATTCTGTGTCCATGTCTGGTCTGTTTAGGATGTTACATGTGTGCACACACGGTGACAGATTACTTGTGTGTGGAACATATTTAGTGAAATAAAGTGATTTTGATTCTGAAGTAGATGACATTATGGATCAACAAAAAAGAAGCCTACATCTATTAGGTTAACTGCAAGGTAAAGCTGTTCAGTTTACCACAGCACATCAAAATTAAGAAATGTAGGAAAAAAGCCCACTCATAGATTATTAAAATAGATTGCAGTATTTTTTTTAGGTTTACAGGAACATTAAAATGTTATTAAGAGAATACAAATACATATACATTGAAAAAAATAATCTCAGAAGGTTAAAATTCACAAAAACATACATAACTTTACAGCAAAGGCTTAACCAAGACAAAAGCTTAAAGAAAGAAATCAACACAGACCTGGTTGATTCATTTAGGTCTTTCAATTCATAGTTCATTCATATAAATTGTATGGAAATTAGAAAACCTACATAATTAATTGCATACACACATTGATTCATAATTACAAATCAAAGCTATTGTATTGCAGACTTTGACTGTTTCAGGAACAAAACTGTACAGTGTGTCATTGGTGAGATTCAGTCAACAAAGATGGTGTCCCTCATGAACATCCTAATGATGTCAGCAAGAGTTAATCTGAGTCAGGCCTGTTATGATCTGTCTAGGAGTTTTGCAATAGTCATAACATAAAACATAAGTCAGTGTATAAGCAAATCAAGTTTTGTTATTTTCTTTCTTTTCTGCTGTTTTCTTAACCAACTCGGGATAGAAGTCAGAGTGGGCATGCACTAAATCAACAAAAATACTAGATGTAGCTGGGTGATTAGAGAACTAACTTACCTGCACGCAAATAAAGAAACAAAAATAGTCTTTCCTAACTTCGTGACTAGGCCAAAGACAGAGGAAACATGGGCCAAAAGAAATGCTACCCAGTCCTACACCTTGATGTGCAGTTATAGGAGAGTTACAGGCATTATTCTTAAATTTGCTGGTAAGTAGTAGAGATAAACTGGGCTGAAAGCATAACTAGGGCTAATCTAATACATTGCTAGAGAAAACAATACACGACTCGTAAAAGAAGCATTTGACTGTACAGCTAAGCTGAACTACACAGCAGCAATGCTGCCTAGGCGTTTGCCCCAAGACATCATGGAGGTAACCCTCAATGAAGTCGGAAACAGCTGCTGAAGAAATACCACGTGTTTTATCAGTGTGTCCCCAAAGCGGACAGTGTTGGCGATGGAAGTGATGTGGCTCACTGTAATGAAAACGCAGCTTAAGTACAGCATGGCTATTGCAAGTCTTATATGAATTACACACAAAAATACAAACTGACTCACATACCTGCACAAATAGTTCTTTATTGCATTTACATAATTTTAAAGTTTTAATCTTTTTTGTGAGTACTTTGGAGCAGTTGCAGTTACACAATCATAAAATCTGGGGGTGTAATTTATGTAATTGTGATGTTTGAAAAATAAAAAGGATTGGAAAAATATAACAGCAAACAACTACTTTATAACTACTAAGATTAAAGAGCTATCATATAAAATAATCCATCAAATTTACCCAGTGAAGACTGTTATTCGAAGATTCAAAATGGATGAAAATCATCACTGATATATGTTGTGAAGGTGGCTCTGAAACTATACAGCATTTATTTTTGGTCATGTCCAGCAGGAAAAGCATTCTGGATTGATCTGCAAAATTATATAAAACACCAGACAAGCTGCTTTCTCTTGACATTGGTCTATTCATATTTGTAGAGGGCTTTCAAATACAGTGATTCTGTGATTGGGATACATTGGAGAGATAATCGCAATGGATGTTGGTGTGGAGAGTGAGGAATGCCAGTTCTTCAGAGCATTGAATGATGGTTCTTATGTCAGTAGCATTTGAGCATGCCATCTATCTTGTACTTTACCTTTTAAATCTACAAAACAATGAGGTCATTACTAATTTAGAACTCCCTTAGCACCTCCCTGAACAATCTCTCTACCAGTTAAGACAATGTCAACATAGTAAGAGGTTGAAGTGGGTTTTATTCCTGCTGCAGTCAATAACAATGTGTAAGAACCACACACATGTACTTTAGCTACAGGCTGGAATCAGAGCAGTAAAGATTCAGTACATCATTTGAAAATGTGTGAAAATCTAAGCAGTGTTGTACCACCACACAAAGTAGTCACACTTTGCTCTTTAAATGGTCTTTAATAAAGAACAACAGGAACAGGGATCATAACATTGCATTGAAACAATGCGGAAGGTCACCATTAGCCACAGACTTCCACCCCAAGAGGATTAACCCCCCCCCCAACACAAAACACCCACAACCCCAGAAACAATAAAACACGTATAACACACAATGCAAACTAACAAACAACATTAACAACCTTGATGTTGGCGTTCAGCACAGGAAAGCATTTCATTTTATGCTCATACTTCCAAAACAGTAAAGGTGGGTTTTCTCTTTAATAACCACAATGTTTAAATAAAATTCTTATTTAGATTTTTTTTTTTTTTTTAATTGGGGACGAATGCACTGTTCCGTTCAGACTCCAGGCATGGTATTAAGGTTGCCGTATTTACTGCCCATTTCCACCACTGCTCTTAATACACTTGTGTGTCTTCACAGAATAAGAACGCCTGAAACTCTTTCCACACTCTGAGCAGTGATACGGCTTCTCTCCTGTGTGAATGCGCTGGTGTGTTTTGAGATGACTCTGATGACTAAAATTCTTGCCACACTCTAAGCAGTGAAACGGCTTCTCTCCTGTGTGAATGAGCTGGTGTCTTTTGAGAGTAGTCCATTGATTAAAACGTTTACCACACTCTGAGCAGTGATACGGCTTCTCTCCTGTGTGAATGCGCTGGTGTCTTTTGAGATTACTCTGAAGATTAAAAGTCTTGCCACAGTCTAAGCAGTAATATGGTTTAACTCCTGTATGAATGCGGTGGTGTGCTTTGAGATGGCTCTGACAACTAAAACTCTTGCCACACTCTGAACAGTAATATGGTTTAACTCCTGTGTGAATGCAGTGGTGTTCTTTGAGATGACTCTGACGATTAAAACTCTTTCCACACTCTGAGCAGTGATACGGTTTCTCTCCTGTGTGAATGCGCTGATGTATTTTAAGAGAACTCTGAACATTAAAACTCTTGCCACAGTCTGAGCAGTGATACGGTTTAACTCCTGTATGAATGCGGTGGTGTGCTTTGAGATTACTCTTACAACTAAAGCTCTTGCCACAGTCTGAGCAGTAATATGGTTTAACTCCTGTATGAATGCGGTGGTGTGCTTTAAGATTACTCTGACAACTAAAACTCCTCCCACACTCTGAGCAGTAATACGGCTTCTCTCCTGTGTGAATGCGCTGGTGTCTTTTGAGAGCATTCAAACAATTAAAACTCGTTCCACACTCTGAGCAGCTGTGAGTTCTCTCCTTGCTGAGTTTCTGTGTTAGTCTGTGAGAAGTCTTCATGTGAAGGGAAACAAATGATGTTTGCTTGGTACTGGAGCGTCTTCTGGATGCCATTCTTGTATTTTACCTGTTTGAACAGCTGAACACTGCTCTTGCTAGAATATTCTGGCTTGCAAAAGTGCACTCTACAAGCAGTAAAAGTCTTGAAGCAGGACGAAATTCATTTCTGGAAGAAGAAAATGAAAAAGACAATCTAAACTCAATGTGAAATGCCACAAAAATAGTCTAAATTGTGAATGCCCTACTTAGATTATCTGGCAGAAAGAGTAAAGAAAGCATAAACTTCAATCTGCTGTGGAAAAGCCAATTACCTGATCAGCCATATCAAACGCACATACTTAATCTCATCTCAGGCTTTTGTTTTTCTGAAATTGTAAAACTGCATGAGAATTGAATATAGGTCAATGCATTATTCAGATACATACTATGCATCTAACACTGTTTTGTTACAGTATAGTATGTACCAAGCCTGTGCAATATCTAAAATTAATCAGCACTACATTTTCCAGCTTAAAAATTGTGATTATTGATTATATTTACGGTGTTTTCTATCGTTATCGCAGTGACTACTCCGGAGTTCAGCAATCGATGCCAAGGCACATCAGCGATTATTCTCAGTTCCATGCACTTAGGCCAAGCTTAATATGAAGTAAAATAAGTTGAAGCAGACGAGGTAGGTAATAGCAGAAGAACAGTGGCCCTCTCTCTGTCTCTCTCTCAAATTGGAGTACCACCAATCTTCTTAAAATCCTCAAAATATTTAGTATTCTTTTAACAGTAAATTTGTCTTCTACTTTGCTCTCAGTTCTCTTTCCCTACACAGGGATTACTGAGTTTTACGCATCGCCATCGGGTTACTTGTCCATCACAAACATTTTCATAATACACTGCCTTGACACATAGACCCAGTATGTAGTCAATGGTAAATGGGCATGGTCCAGATGATTGAAAAACTGATTAAATTTGTTAAAATCGTATTTTAATGCTCCTTGTAAATCTTCATTGTGTATACAATGTGGTAGGACTTTGTTTAGGGTCTAAGTCATCTAAAAAGAAGACCCGTTTCAGTAGGATATCTTGTTTTGACCAGGTTGGAGTGCTTGTGTTATCACTATTAGTCGGCTAGGCTCTATGGGCTAGATTTCATTGCCTATATTGATCAACTTCTTGATGGGAAGTGTGTGTTTCATGTTGTAAGTGGATGGAAATGTTTGAGGTGCACTTTGATCTTGCCATTTCAGCACTTTTCATAAATACTGAAAAAGTAGTTTGCTTGTAGTTATTTTGTATAACATTCCTGAGCCATTGTACTGTTTGCAACGCTGATTGTATCAGCACTATTCTGCGTATGTTTTTGCGACTGCACTCAGATTAGCAAATTCTTTGACTATATATTGTCAACATTGTCTGATATGCTTGAAATTCCTATGAACCAAATCCCATGTCTCTGTTTATTAAATAATGATAGACTCTTCACTTAACTTAAAAATGATTAATCTTTGTCGGTCTAATCACTGCTAACAAGACTATTACAGATAATTGGGTTGATCTAAATATGCAACAATATCTATTATGATATTGTCTCCCTTGAGCAGACTACTGCAATGATATAAAAAAGCTAAACCAGCTACAATATTGGCATGGGATGCAATTAAATCAGCTTTAAAAAATTTAGTACTAGTCCATTAGATGAAGGCCCGCAAAACTCACCCTATACTTATTTTCTTACCTGCTGTGACAGTGTTTTTATGTGCTTGTATTGACTGTAATTTTGACTGTACCTATTCATGTTTGTTTACACTGAACAGGACTGTAAGCTACATGTCTGTTGAAAGCTAATAAAAACTTGATCAAAGAAAAACACAGGACAGTGGCTCACCAGGAGTGCGGCTGAAAACCTCTGGACACAAAACACAAAAGGGAAATGTAGCTCCACTCCAACAAAAGAGGTCAATCCAGCAAGTCTGCATGGAACTAAAAGATAAAACAAAACACCCATCCCTTGATTGGAAACACACAAAAAGTACTAGGCTCATTCCATGGTTAAATAAAATCATTTTAATGGAAACAGGTGATAGTGGTGTAATTTTATCAGTTAGTCTAGTAAACAGCAAAACTACTGTATTACCTAAAAAGTCAAATTACACATTCTTAGATGCCCCCTATCTCATACTGTGTCCCTAAACTTGGTCTGCACACCTATGGCACGATTACAACTCATAACTTCTGGTGATTCATATTATATACTTGTGGATGTTGCAGCCTGTTGGTTGTTCATTGTGTTTTTCCCCTCAAAATGATACAGCACAATATAGTTTTTCTATTGTCATTCTACAATATAGCTTTTCTATTGTCATCTAGTGCAGTGGACACCAACCATTACCATTACATGTAGCATATGTAGTATACATCATGAATAAATCAGAAGCAAACAGCTCCATTTGCCAAACCCAACTAGGAAAACACAATCAACCAAATCTTCTGGCCCAGCAGCTCACGTTACTCAGCTCTGTCTGAGTGAAGCTGCTTCTGTGTGTCTGATCTATTTTAAAGCAATCAGATCTTACTTCCAGAACTCAAACGTGTCTCCAGCTGTTTGTCCCAGAGTGAATGAAGAACAATGAGTGGTAAAGTGTCGGACTCCTACCTTCAATAGTTCAGCTCTGGTCTCTGTTCCGCCAACAACACTGTCCGAGCGCATGGACTGCTTACCACGACAAAATCTTCTGCTTCTCTCACTTTAATGCAGTTGGAGCAAGTTAGAGTTCCACAATTAGCGCCACCACCTGGCTTGAATTGGCTTTGCTATTTTAAATCCCACCTGTATTCGGTCAAGCCCAGTGAGCGCTCTGACTGGATTAAATCTTAGGGTTTGCTAAAATGCTACATACCAACGGATACCTACAGTTAAATGTGCCAGAAACTTAATTTATATATGTTCCCCTTCTAATGCCAAGATCATTAATGGGTCAGGGATTAACGTTAAATTTGCGAGTGGGTGTCAAAACTACGGCAGTAAATGAGGCACATCTGCAGAATCTAAGTAAAATGTAATTTACTGAGGTAAATCTGTAGAGGCTGAGAGAAATGTGTAATTTACTGAGGTAAAGTCTGCAGAGTCTGAGTGAAATGTTATATTAACTGAGATAAATCTGCTGAGTCAGGGTGAAATACAGCATTAAATAAGATAAATCTGTAGACATGGAGTGAAATAGGGCATTTACTGAGATAAATCTGCAGTAACTGAATAAAATGTGCCATTAACTGAAATAAATATGCAGAGGCTGAATGAAATATGGCATTAACTACAGAAAATCTGCAGACAGAATGAAATATGGCATGAACTGAGGTAAATCTGCAAAGGGTGAATGAAGTACAGCATTAACTGAGGTAAATCTGGAAATCCTTAGTGAAATATGGCATTAACTGAGGTAAATCTGGAGAGGCTGAGTGAAATACCGCATTAACTGAGGTACATTTGGAGATCCTGAGTGAAATGTGGCATTAACTGAGGTAAATGTGAATAACATGAATGAAATAAAGCATTAACTGAGGTAAACCTGGACAGGCTGTGTGTAATACAGCATTAACTGAGGTAAATCTGGAGAGGCTGAATGAAATAAAACATTAACTGAGGTAAAACTGCAAAGGCTGAGTGAAATACAGCATTAACTGAGGTAAAGCTGGAGATCCTGCGTGAAATATAACATTAACTGAGGTAAGTCTGGAAAGGCTGAGTGAAATACAGAATTAACTGAGGTAAATCTGGAAATCCTGAGTGAAATATGGCATTAACTAAGTAAATCTGCAAAGGCTGAATGAAATACAGCATTAACTGAGGTAAATCTGGAGAGGCTGAATGAAATAAAACATTAACTGCGGTAAATCTGAAGATCCTGAGTGAAATATGACATTAACTGAGGTAAATGTGCAAAACTTAAATAAAATATGACATTAACTGAGGTAAATCTGGAGAGGCTGAATGAAATAAAACATTAACTGAGGTAAATCTGGAGAGGCTGAATGAAATACGGGATTACCTGAATCTGGAGGGGCAGAATGAAGTAAGGCATTAACTGAGGTAAATCTACAGGGGCTGCGTGAAATACAGCATTAACTGAGGTAAATCTGGAGAGGCTGAATGAAATATGGCATTAACTGAGGTAAATCTGGAGAGGTTGAATGAAATAATGCATTAACTGAGGTAAATCTGGAGAGAATGAATGAAATACGGCATTAACTAAGGTAAATGTGCAAAACGTGAATGAAATATGGCATTAACTGAGGTAAATGTGCAGAACATGAAAGAAATAAAGCATTAACTGAGGTAAACCTGGAGAGGCTGGATGAAATAAAATATTACCTGAGGTAAATCTGGAGAGGCTGAATGAAATAAGGCATTAACTGAGGTAAATCTACAGGGGCTGCATGAAATACTGCATTAACTGAGGTTAATTGGGAGATCCTGAATGAAATACGGCAATAACTGCGGTAAATCTAGAGATGCTGAAAGAAATACAGAATTAACTGAGGTAAACCTGCAGTAGCCATGTAAAATGCAGCATTAGCTGAGGTAAATCTGGAGATCCTGAGTGAAATATGGCATGAACTGAGGTAAATCTGCAGTAACTGAATAAAATGTGCCATTAACTGAGGTAAATCCAGGGAGGCTGAATGAAATATGGCATTAACTGAAGTAAATCTGCAGAGACAGAACGAAATATGGCATGAACTGAGGTAAATCTACAGAGGCTGTGTGTAATACAGCATTAACTGAGGTAAATCTGAAGAGGCTGAATGAAATAAGGCATTAACTGAGGTAAAACTGCAAAGGCTGAATGAAATACAGCATTAACTGACGTAAACCTGAGGTAGCCATGTAAAATGCAGCTTTAGCTTAACTAAATCTGTAAAGGCTGAGCGAAATATGGCATTAACTGAGGTAAATCTGGATAGGCTAAATGAAATACAGCATTAACTGAGGTAAATCTGGAGATCCTGAGTGAAATATGGCATTAACTGAGGTAAGTCTGGAGAGGCTGAGTGAAATACAGCATTAACTGAGGTAAATCTGGAGATCCTGAGAGAAATATGGCATTAACTGAGGTAAATCTGCAAAACTTTAATGAAATATGGCATTAACTGAGGTAAATGTGCAGAACATGAATGAAATAAAGCATTAACTGAGGTAAACCTGGAGAGGCTGAATGAAATATGGCATTAACTGAGGTAAATCTGGAGAGGCTGAATGAAATAAGGCATTAACTGAGGTAAATCTGGAGAATCTGAATGAAATACAGCATAAACTGAGGTAAACCTACAATAGCCATGTAAAATGCAGCATTAGCTAAGGTAAATCTGTAGTAGCTGAGTGAAATATGGCAATAACTGAGGTAAATCTGCAGTAACTGAATAAATTGTGCCATTAACTGAGATAAATCCAGAGAGGCTGAATGAAATATGGCATTAACTGGAGTAAATCTGCAGAGACAGAATGAAATATGCCATGAACTGAGGTAAATCTAGAGAGGCTGTGTGAAATACAGCATTAACTGAGGTAAATCTGGAGAGGCTGAATGAAATAAGGCATTAACTGAGGTAAAACTGCAAAGGCTGAATGAAATACAGCATTAACTGAGGTAAACCTGCAGCAGTCATGTAAAATGCAGCATTAGCTGAAGTAAATCTGCAAAGGCTGAGTGAAATATGGCATTAACTCAGGTAAATCTGCAAAGGCTGAATGAAATATAGCATTAACTGAGGTAATTCTGGAGATCCTGAGTGAAATATGGCATTAACTGAGGTAAATGTGCAAAACTTGAATGAAATATGGCATTAACTGAGGTACATGTGCAGAACATGAAAGAAATAAAGCATTAACTGAGGCAAACCTGGAGAGGCTGAATGAAATATGGCATTAACTGAGGTAAATCTGGAGAAGCTGAATGAAATAAAACGTTAACTGAGGTAAATCTGGAGAGGCTGAATGAAATAACGCATTAACTGAGATAAATCTGGAGAGGCAGAGTGAAATAAGGCATGAACTGAGGTAAATCTACAGAGGCTTTGTGAAACACAGCATTCACTGCGGTAAATCTAGAGAGGCTGAGTGAAATATGGCATTAACTTAGGTAAATCTGCAAAGGCTGAGTTAAATACAGCATTAACTGAGCTAAACCCGTAGTAACCATGTAAAATACAGCGTTAGCTGAAGTAAATCTGCAAAGGCTGTGTGAAATATAGCATTAACTCAGGTAAACCTGCAGTAGCCATGTAAAATGCAGCATTACCTGAGGTAAGTCTGGAGATCCTGAGTGAAATATGACATGACTGAGGTAAATCTACAAAGGCTGAGCGAAATACAGCATTAACTGAGGTAAATCTGGAGAGGCAGAATGAAATGAGGTAAATCTGCAAAGGCTGAGGGAAATAATACATTAACTGAGGTAAATCTGGAGGGGATGAATAAAATGTGCCATTAACTGAGGTAAATCTGCAGAGGCTGAATGAAATACAGCATTAACTGAGATAAACCTGCAGTAGCCATTTAAAATGTAGCATTAGCTGCAGTAAATCTGGAGATCCTGAGTGAAATATGACAATAACTGAGGTAAATCTGCAGTAACTGAATAAATGTGCCATTAACTGGGGTTAATCCAGAGAGGCTGAATGAAATATGGCATTAACTAGAATAAATTTGCAGAGACAGAATGAAATATTGCATTAACTCAAGTAAAACTACAGTAACTGAATAAAATGTGCCATTAACTGAGGTAAATCCAGAGAGGCTGAATGAAATAAGGCATTAACTGAGGTAAATATACAGAGGCTGTGTAAAATACAGCATTAACTGAGGTAAATCTGGAGAGGCTGAATGAAATAAGACATTAACTGAGGTAAATCTACAGAGGCTGTGTGAAATACAGCATTAACTGAGGTAAATCTGAAGAGGCTGAATGAAATAAGGTATTAACTGAAGAAAATCTGCAAAGGCTGAGTGAAATACAGCATTAACTCAAGTAAAACTGCAGTAACTGAATAAAATGTGCCATTAACTGAGGTAAATCCAGAGAGGCTGAGTGAAATATGGCATGAACTGGAGTAAACCTGGAGAGGCTGAAAGAAATAAGGTATGAACTGAGGTAAATCTGCAGAGGCTGAATGAAATACTGCATTTACTGAGGTAAACCTGCAGTAGCCATGTAAAATTCAGGATTAGCTGAAGTAAATCTGCAAAGGCTGAGTGAAATACAGCATTAAGTGAGGTAAACCTGCAGTAGCCATGTAAAATGCAGCTTTAGCTGAGGTAAATCTGGAGGTCCTGAGTGAAATGTGGCATTAACTGAGATAAATCTGCAATAGCTGAATGAAATACAGCATTAACAGAGATAATTATGGAGAACTTGAGTGAAATATGGCATTAACTGAGGTAAATCTGGAGGGGCTGAGTGAAATACAGCATTAACTGAGGTAAATCTGGAGATCCTGAATGAAATATGGCATTAACTGAGGTAAATCTGCAAAACTTGAATGAAATATGGCATGAACTGAGGTAAATGTGCAGAACATGAATGAAATAGAGCATTAACTGAGGTAAACCTGGAGAGGCTGAAAGAAATAAAACATTAACTGAGGTAAATCTGGAGAGGCTGAATGAAACACAGTATTAACTGAGGTAAGCCTGCAGCAGCCGTGCAAAATGCAGCATTAGCTGAGGCAAATCTGGA